TGCAAGCTTAATTTCTAGCTGGGGAATGAAATATTTCATTGAGATGGGGTATGTACCAAGCTATGATGAAATAAATTAATCTCTGTTTATGTATCAATGACCTCAACTATCATGCAGCTGACAACATCTGACATCACAGACATCATGGTCAGGCCTTTGACTAGTTATGTGCCTATACAATTCAAAATTAATGTAGCTGTAAATAAAGATTTGGATAATCATGATATGCAGCAATATAGTTGTGGTGATGAGAGTGATTTTAATGATTACACCCAATTAGTGACTCCTGGAACACACTCAAGTAGCAATGATGACAGTGCAAATGATGTCAATGAACAAAAAAACTATGACACAATGAAGTGTAGGAATGGGAAGGGTGCCAATGAAGTTCGTGGGGCATGATATTAACACATTACCTGCTGTATGGGGAACATTCTGCATTATCCACAGTCCACAGTTTGGCATACCTAATATGAATAAGGTGGACATATCTGAAAACATTTTATGCAGCTAACAGTAAATGAAACCAACAAACAAGAACAGCAGGAATGTTTGAAAACTTCTGGTCCTCTTACTTTTAGCTCTAGAATTAGGAAGTGGGAAAATGTCATAGTGGATGAAATGTATGTGGTTTCAGCTATGGCTATATTAAAAGGCACAATGCAAAAGCCAACACTCAGGTCATAGTATTAAAAGAACTACCTGCTATTCACACCATTCTTTCTGGAAAATCTCCCACTGAAAAGGCTGGAACTAACACCAAAAATGCATTTACCTTTCAGGCAACCATAAAAAGAAAGAATTTCAAGGCCCTATCACAATTTTCAAATGTACCCAGTCATTCCATGTCTAATGTTTCAGAATTTGGAACTTCCGAACCAGAACAAAGCAACAGACAAATCTTTGACTCTATGGAAGGGCATCTATCATTCAGGCAATATACAAAATGGCTGCAAAGTTTTGTAGAAAGTTGTTCAAACTCTGTGAACATAGCATGCACTGTTTGGTGTTTCATTATTTCCACACAGCATGGAATCGAAATCGAAAGCAATTATATTCGCCAAACTCGAATCTTTCTCCTTTTCAGAAAGGTACTATGTTTACTGCTATTAAACTATTCAACAGATTGCCCATAACCATTCAAAGCCTTGAAGAGGATAGAATTAGTTTTAAAAATAGGCTGTTTTTATATCTTATGAATAATTCCTTTTATACAGTTTCTGAATATGTGGAGCATAACATAAACAATTAGTTTTAATTATTTTGTTATCTGTGCGTTTGTTTAAATTTTGTATGACGACCTTCATGTCCATTTGTTTGGACTTGTGAAATGAAATGAAATTAAATTAAATTAAATTAAATTAAATGTATGTATGTATGCAATGTAATGGAACTGACAATCAGTACCTGAATGCAGACCCAAACAAAACATCAGCATCACTGTTATCAAGCTGGCAGAACATCTTGATCATGGCCACACTTTCTTGATGGATAATTTTTTTAACTTTCCAAATATGTCCCTGTTCTTGAAACCAAAGGAACAGACTGTGCAGACACTTTACAAACCAACAGGAAAAAAGTCCCCCCTCCTCATAAAGGATTAAGGACTGAAGAACAGCAGCATGGTGATCAGCATTCAGGAGATGAAAGAGCACATGCCTGGCAGGATAGGAAAGAAGAATCTATGATTTTGATGCACCACAAAGATGAAATGTGCTCCAAAGTAAATAAAGAAAATAAGGAATAGACAAAACCTGCAGTTGTGTATGAATGCAATCTGATCCAAGAAATTAGATGTCAAAGACTTATTTGCTTGAGCAAAACAAAGGTTGACTGGTACATGAAATTATTCAAAAGGTTACTTAATATAACTATCCATAATTCTATGATAATATAGTGGTCCATGCCAAACAACAGAAAATGAATGAAGAGAAACAATTTATTGGTACAGTGAATGTGAAGCAGGCTTGTGCTTGGACGGGTGTTTTATGAAGTACCATATTAATCTCCACTTCTAATTCAGTTGTTTTCTTCATGCACATGAAAGATGTTCAGTTAATAAGGTAAGCTACTACATTCATACTTCCTAGAGCTGTGTGAAAAAAATTATAAAATTATCTCATACATATAAATGGTTATGAAGATTTAAAATTAAAGGACATACAAATCACTGAATGTGATATTTAAATGTGTTATCTTGAAGGGTTAATAAACCAGGATTCCTTTCTTCCCCATTGCATTACTACCTATGAAATTTTCACAGTATATACTATATACCCACAGAGCTCAACCTTTCCCAGTTCATACATTGACGAAAGTCAGGCTATCAAATAATCTTATTTGTATCTCTTAAGCTTCATAAGTTTGTATCAATAACATAATTACAATAAACTTACAAATTCAAATCTCTGGTACTTCCATTTTATAAAATGTTTCTGGACCACCAAAAAGAGCAGGACATGGACCAAAAATGAACAATATTCTGAGATTTCTTTAGTTACATGATGTAATGTGTTGACTACATACTGTAAGATGGTTCTGTGTTTTACTGAAGTTAATGAATACTGCTGTGAAATGTTTCCAAAAATTAATATCACCCATGCTATTGAGGGCTTGGCAACTCAGCTGACCAGTGATGTGGAAAATCAGATTACACTGTACAGCATAATAAAATTCTGTAACTAAGCAACATGCAAAATTACTCAGCACTGTCAACTTTCCAATAATACAATGTTACAAAAAAATAACAAAAGAGCATGAGTGCAACATGTTTCACTGCCAACTTCCACAGGTCCATTTAATAAAAGTTTAAAAAAAAATCCCTACAAATGTTTAATTTGTTTATTAAATTCACCGGTTTCTTATAAGTAAAATTATGACTGATTTCCATCAAGTGCAACAATGTTTTTTTTAATAAGGTAAAGCCTTTAGATGTTTAGGCCAATGTTGGTCATCATCAGAAGGCAACCAACACTACAGACTAAATGCTTCACGTGTATTACACGCATGAGTTATCTTGTATAGATTTAAACACTAGTATTTAAAAATATGTTTTATTAAAAAATAAAAGTAAAAGGATTTTTCAATTAATTAGATCTTGCTATGAGTCCCAGTGATGGTCATGTTCCTTCACAGTATGACCATCTGCAAATATAATGCAATAAATTGCTCAGTTCCATATTTGTTATTTTTGTATGTATAAATGTATATTTTAGATAGTAAAGTAAAGTTATCCCTGTAACAGGCCATGAAGGCCCATAGGGTTGTGAGACGTTAAGGGTCCCACATTATCTAGACTAAGGGTCTCCAAACTACAGCCTGCAGGCCACATCCATCCCGCGATGTGATTTTATCCGGCCCGCGAAAGAATTGTGCAGAAATGCGCCAATTGAACTAATTTTCCAATGAGTACTGGTAAATGTGATTCCGAGCTTACTGACCTGACATATTATACTGCAATTCGATGGCTTAGCTGTGGAAGGTTCTTTCGCGCTTCTTTCAACTCAGGAATGAAATTGATATATTTATTACTGAGAAAAACCATCACGAACCACTTTTATCAGATACCGAGTGGCTTTGGTAATTATCATTTTTTGCTGATCTGGTGAACCATATGAACCATTTGAATTTAAAGTTGCAGGGTGAAAATAACTTAGTCTGTGATTTATTTGCAATTATCAAGGCATTCAGAGCAAAGTTGATACTTCTGGAAAGCCAAGTGAAAAATTGTAACTTTGTTCATATGCTGTACTGTGCAGAGTTGCATAAAAAGGGTGAAGCAGAATTTCCTTCCTCGTTCGCAGATTTAGTCACTTCAGATTTGAAAGAACAATTTTGGACCGATTTGCTGATTTGGATTCCAGTGCTCAGGAAATTAGATTGTTTCAAAATCCGTTTGACTGTGATGCTGCAGATGTCCCAAGTCAAATTCAAATGGAAATTATTGAATTTCAGGAAAATTATCATATTAAAGACAAATACAAGGAATAAAATTTGATTGAATTTTATAAATTTCTGAACTCTGAGCAATTTCCAAATTTAAAGAAATTTGCTTGTAAATTTATCTCCATTTTTGGGACGACATATCTGTATGAACAAACTTTTTCCCAGATGAAGTACATCAGGTCGGATTACAGGGCAAATTTATCCGATGAACATTTAAAGTCGCTACTTGTGATTAGCGTTTCAAAATTTGAACCTCAATTTAATCAGATTTTAAGAACGCAAAAAGAGTTCCATCATTCACATTAATTGTTTTATTATAATTTGTGATGAAAATATGAGCATTTGCTGCTACTGTCTGTTGTCATTAATATACGATAATTTATTCTCACATACTTTGTATTTGGTTTATGAAATTCTGTGCTTTCAATAAAACTCATATACCTAGAGTTATTAATTTCTCATTTTATCCAGCCCGTTGAAAGTACTGAATTACCTAATCTGGCCCGCGGTTCAAAAAGTTTGGAGACCCTTTATCTAGACAATCAGCTCAAAGATGGCGGTAAGGTTGTCGGCCTTACGCACCAGCCGCTTTACTCCTCAGGAAAATAGCGTAGTTGGTTGAGGCACTATGCTACAAGTCGGAAGGTCGCGGGTTCAAGTCCCACTGAGGTCATTGGATTTTTTCAATTGACCTAATCCTTCCGGCCACACTATGGCCCTGGGGCCGACTCAGCCTCTAACAGAAATGAGTACCAGGAATATTTTATATAAGTATGTGCAAATATAATACACTTGGTCGTTGACTTACGACTTACTTCCGTTCTGACTGACAGGTCGTAAGTCGATCTGGTCAATGTTGGCCATATATTTATTAACAGTGTTTTTTAATCTTTCTAATCTTCTTATCACCTTTATAATTTATTTTTAAAAACTTTTACATTTTAATCATCTTTTATTTTTCATTTTTTTGTGGTTGTAAGTGCGGCCAATCGTAAGTCACATAGGTTGTAAGTCAACGACCAAGTGTATAGGTATTTTTGACATTATATTCATTCTGAATGTACCAGCCACTAATAATTAATGATTTTTCATACCTCTATTGTGTTGGTCCTGTGTGTATGGGCAGGGTGGTGGTGTGTGTTGTGGCCGAAACATGTGAAAGCTCTATTTTATTACTGAAAAATACTGTTGCACTTGATGGAAATCAATCCTAATTTTACCTATATGCTATATAGTGCAACGGCTGAGGACAATGTCAATCATAAAAATCACCAGTTTCACTTAAGAAAACATTATACTTTACAAAACACAGCAAACTCATTTCCTGATGACATAACTTTGCTGAACACCAACTAAATGACATAACACAAGCCCAACCTGCATTCAGATGCCAAAAGAGTTGCCACTTTTACTGCATTATTTACACTTCAAGATTCAACAATGTGATACAAAAATATTGGTTGATTTCCTTAATCAATGCAACAAACTGCCAAGCAATATAACTTTAATTTTCCTATTATCTGAAAACAGTTAAACAAAATAAACTGAGATTAGCTAAATTACAAATTCAAAGAGCTGTGAAAAATATGGGATAGATAATCAAGAATAAAACTGGTATAAAATTGTGACCTAATGAAGAACATCCTTGAATGCAACTGTCTGAGAAAAGAAGAATTAAAATGTTTTAAGAAGACAGTTTTATTTTCCTCATATCAAGGCATTTTAGTTGATATTCTATCCCTTACACATCATATTTTTGAAATAAACAAACCTTCTTAACATCTGACTATAAAATTATTCCAAACATGCAAAATTGCAACTCAGTAAAACTCAAGTTTTATTACGATCAATCACACAACAAATATCAAGGAAGACTGTTACTTTCTTTACACACATTACTGACATTTCAAATTAATGCTTAGTCCAATTAAGATGCAATTTCTATACCAAATTTGAAACAGCGAGTTTTATTGTATCCTCAGCTTCTTGTAATGATGACTTCATGAAACTGAATGCATACTGTACTTTCTGTTTCCATGGACCTGGCTGCTGCTTGTTTCTGTTATCCATCTGTATATTTATTTGTTCACACCTAATAATCTCCAAGACTTGCACTCAAATGTGAAAACACTTGTCCAAGACTTACACTTATATGTGAGATCACCAATGTTCAAAACTTAAACTCAGTTTAGGAAATGTTCATCATCATTATCCCATTTCAACAATGAAATTATTTTCTGGAGTAACAGAAAGCAGAAAACAGGGCAATTTGTAAGTTAAGTTTGTTATATTCTTTTAAATTAAAAGTAAATTTTGACATTAAGAAAATAATGGCTATAAGAAATGTTCGGGGTTATAGTTTGAAGCAGAATAACTGGAAGATGAGAAAGGTTTACAGCAGAGATCAGAATCTCAAAGAACAATGATACACGACATATTTACAGTAATTTGGAATAATAAAAGGAACTGGAATAAGGGAAGATAAAAACTGATGAAACTAATTATTATTATCAATAAGACAGATCAAAATGTGCAGCTTGAGGAGGCATCTTTTGGGAATATATCAGCCTCTCATTACATCACAGCAATCAACAGCCACCATCTGAGTCCACGTCAATGACAAAATCATGCATATTACTTATTTTGTGCAAAATGAATAATACAATGAAACTGAAATTAAATAATGAACAATGTTCAACAGAGTATTTTCTTTTTTTCTCAATCTCACATGTGTTCTTCCCACTCCCTCCTCTTGCCACAGACTGCAATTATGTTGGGATGAAGTTAATTATAGTGCTGGCCACTGCTATGGTTGTGTATGATAATGTCCCATTTGTCTCTGTATGAGTACTTCTCCATTACGCCACATAGCTGTATTCATCAGCAGAGTTAGGTGTTCGCTCGATGTACTGTTTGTCAATTAAAGCCTCAATACATTTCTTGATCATGCTGATGGATGGGGCAAATGTCACTTTTGACTGGCTCAGTACCTGAAAACAGTATGATAAATTTTCAAGAATCCATTCCGTTATCTTTAGCATAGAGCATTAACTTCTTCAGGTAAGGGCAACATTCGTCCTACATGGCATTAAAGATTACACTCCAATGAAAAACTTCTTTTCTAAAATAGAAAGGACAACTAATATCTGTCAGTCATCATCTGATGACAGTGCCTTCATTCAGCATTACTGTGCAAGGAAACAGAATTTACTTTGAACATGCACCAAAAAAGATCAAAAGGTTCTCCAAAAATATTTTTCTTGATCAGTAATATGTGAACACTGAGTTTTATACTACTTCCGTAATTATGTTTCACAAACTATAAATTTTTTCCTTTTCTCTATGGCTCTACAGCCCTCTGGACCTTGGCCGCTATTTCAGTTTCTTAATCTATGAAGTCAGCAGGACTCCTTCGAAGGGGGATCATCCCATCATAAAGCCGCTACCTACACAAATAACAACATAAACAGAGAATAAATGCACACAGACATCCATGCCTCCAAAGGGATTCGAACCCATGATCGCAGTGTTCAAGCGGGCCAAGATGATTCATGACTTAGACCATGCAGCCACTGTGATGGGCCACAAACTATAAATACTTATCACAAATTCTGAAAACCATCTGTGTAAACTGGCTTTATCACACCACTCCTTTTCAACGTTGCTTTAGAATATGCAATTAGGAAGGTCCAGGGAAACTAAGTGGGACTGAAATTAAACAGGACACATTATCTGTTGGCCTATGCTGATGATGTGAATCTACTGGGTGATAATGTAGATACCATAAAGAAAAACACACAAACTTTAAGTGACGCAAGTAAAGAGGTTGGTCTAGAAGTAAACACAGAGAAAACTAAGTATATATTGCTGTCTCATCACCAAAATGCAGGGCAAAATCATGACATAAAGATAGGAAACAGATGTTTTGAAAATGTGGCTCAGTTCAGATATTTGGGAACGATAACAGATTGAAACCTGATTGAGGAGGAAATTAAAAGGAGATTGAACTTGGGTAATGCTTGCTACCATTCAGTCCAGAACCTTTTGTCTTATCGTCTGCTGTCCAAAAACATAAGAATTAGAATACACAAAACTATAATTTTGCCTGTGGTTCTGTATGGGTGTGAAACTTGGTCTCTGATATTAAGGGAGGAACACAGAATGAGGGTATTTGAGAACGGTGTTGAGAATATTATTTGGACCAAAGAGAGATGCGGTGACAGGTGGTTGGAGAAAACTGCACAACGAAGAGCACTTGTACTCTTCTCCAAGTATAATTAGAACGATCGAGTCAAGGAGGATGAGATGGGCAGGGCATCTAGCACGAATGGGGGAGACGAGAAATGCATATAGGATATTGGTGGGAAGGCTGGAAGGAAGGAGACCACTGAGAAGACCAAGATGTAGGTAGGTGGACAATATTAAAATGGATCTTACGAGAGACAGGATGGGATGATATGGATTGGATTGATCTGGCTCAGGATAGGGACCAGTGGAGGGCTCTTGTGAAGATGGTAATGAACCTTCGGGTTCCATAAAATGCTGGGAGATTCTAGAGTAGCTGCAGAATTGGCAGCTCCTCCGCTCCTCCAGAAGGACACAGCTCCATGAGTAATTTTTTATTGCTAGTGGGGTGGGACTAAGTCCCTTGTACTGCGGCCACTTCTGGCCTATTGTACCAACCCCAGATGATAAGTGAGGGTGATTGTGGAGCAATTGGTGGAATGAAGATTGGCAGGGGAAACCGAAGTACTCGGAGAACACCTGCCCCAGCGCCACTTTGTCCACCACAAATCCCACCTGACCAGACCTGGGACTGAACCCAGGCCACCACGGTGGGAAGCCAGCCACTAACCACTTGAGCTATGGCGCGGCCTTGCTCCATCAGCAAGTAAGTAAGTAAATCTACTACCCACTAGGTACAGGTCTAACAATAAAATAACTTGAAAGAAGTTTTGAGCAGCAATTGACAAGAGTGATGATTTGGGGCATGCTGGACCACATGACTAGAAGATCCAACAGTTTTGTGGTTATAGTAAATATTATACTGATGCAGTGCCTTGAATGTCTGTTAAGAACATGGGTCAACACAGAACCATCATTACATTTTTTGTACATTATGAGAGAAAAATGCCACTGGCATCTATAAAATGTCAGAGAGTTTATGGAGAAAAGAACAATGAGTTAACATAGTTATTTGTATAGGTTATGTAACTTCAAAACAAGGACAGATCCTACAGAGTGAAAAGTCTGGCCAACCTGCAGCTTCAAAAGTTTATCTAAATGTGAAAGTGACTGAAACTGAGAGAGGTAACTGTTCAGAAGACAGAAGTACTCAATATAAATATCAAAACGTGACTTACTGTGACCAGTGATCTGAAACAGTACCAACAAACCTAAATAGAAAGCAAAAAATGAGCAGAAAAGATCTGTGGGCATTTTGGCAATTCTGTATTTCAGCATCCTGTTGCAATTGTTTAACTTAACGTCCATGTATTTATCATCCGTCAGTATTGCAACACTTGTCTATTCACTACTTCATTTTAATTTAGTTTAACATTATACACTTTGACACTACATGTTTCGACCACAAACGGCCATCTTCAGGTGTCTTGATATGTTACAAATATTTTATTAAATTATGTTAAAACTGCTAATCTGTCTTAGTCCATGTTAAAATCACATGCTGTAGTTCTCTTTTCATGGTAAAACCAGATAATCCTTTAAAGTTTCTATTATACCCATGTTATTTTGGTGCATTTTATTTCACCTCACACGGGGTGTCGTCCGTTGTTCATAAATGTATGTCTGTCCAGGGTGTTTTTTTTGGGGGGGGGCAGCTTGCCCCTCACGTTCATAGCCTACTTTTCAGTGATGACTGCCATATGCCCTTGGTTTGCGTGTTTCCTCCACAGCGTGTGGTGTTGGCTCTACTAGACATTCAAGACACCAAGACTGTCCCCCAGTAGTATTCCATATTCCTGTACAAATGTGTAATGTCTAACTATTTCACCTTCCAACAGTGGTTGACTCAGCTGCATTTTGTATGGAAACAACTAGTCACCATGGCAGATCTTCCATGCCGTGCTGGCTGCCATTTCAATTTGATGTGTTAAATGTTGCACACTGCTTAGACCTCTTCTTATCATCTCCTATGCTACACTGACAAATTCCTCCACAGGAACAGATGAGCTACATTTACGTTCCTCTGCATATCTGACAAACACACTTTCTGTTTCTTCAAACTGTTAGTAATCCAGTATATAATTTCTCTTGACAACACAAAACACAGATTTCTCAATGATAGTGTGTTTTCACAGCAACACAAGAACCACCAGAAAATCAAAATATCTTCATAATAAACACTTTTTGATCAAATCTATGACACCGTCTTAACACTGAGTTCACCTTGCAACAGAAAGTTAACAAGTAGTACACAATAATACTGCCACATGTATGAGTGACTACAGATGAGGTCTGGAGTGCTAATTGGATTTATTGAACACTAACAGAGCATAACTACAAGTAACTACAGTGCTATCGCTAATTCACACACTCAGCAGTTCACAACAGCATGTACTAAGTCTTCTCAGGCTGCTTGTCTTCAGCAGTCTTCTGCTTATGGCTTCCAGCAGTGGACACTCCCTTACTCTGGGTTCCAAAAATATCCCCATGCCTCAGCTACCAGGGACTAACAGTGGCAGCTCACAAAGACTTAACTGCAGCAGTCCTCTAACTCACTCACTCACCAACCAACTTGCTCCACTTCACTGCACTGCAGTATGTGAACTGAACTCAGTCAGTCATATGATATAGCCTTGGTGCAGACCACACAGAAAACACAGTTGCCAACAGTACTTCCATTGTTGTGCACGGGTCGATGCATATCAACGGCCATGGTCTCACTGCTTGTTTTGTGGTTGTTGCCTAGCAACAGGTCTATATGCCACAATATTTACTTAAAACATAAGTTTTTAAATTAGGCCACCCTGATATCATATAACTTTCAGCAAATTGGAGTAACAAGAAGATGAAAAATGAATTAAATTATTTTGTACAGTGTATCTTCTGAGTAATAAGATACGTATTTATATTGCATTAGATTTGCTCAAAGCGTTTCTACGTAATAGCTTGGTAAAAACATTCAAAGTGCAACAGTGGAAGCTGTGTCTCAGTGGATGAATGTTATAGCTTGTTGCTAGGCAACAGTCAGCATGCCAATGAACTCACTGGGCAGGAATAACATGACATGTTTTCTGTGTGGTCTGTGCAGAGTCTACAAAATGAAGACCTGTTGTAGCTTAGATTAGATTAGATTAGAGTAGATTAATGAAGTGAAGTGAAGTGAAGTGAAGCGCAATGCAGCGCAGTTAAGAGTTAGGTGCAAGAGTGTGACCATGAAGAGAAGACTTTATGTGTAATATCTGGAGAGTGTATTTCAGTGAGACTGTTATAGTTCCTGTGTTGTAATTGCATTACCAGGAGACAACTAGTGTGTGTGTAACAGTGAATTATAAAGTGCAGATATAGCGACAGGACTATAATTACATGTAATTACTGGTGGTGTGTATAAGGAGTAAATAAACCCGTTCATCCAATCCAACACCCACATTACTAATCGCTAATACACATGACAATATAAAAAGAAATGTTTATTTGCAAATCTTGAACATCATAAATGCTACTTTTCTCTCATCTAACAAATGTTTACTTACCTAGTTAAAATTTATTTAACAACAAAACAGTAATGCTAACAACCAATACCAAGAAAATGCATACACACCTCTTGAATGAGAGCATTGTGCCGCAGAATTTTTCTACTTTTCATCACCCTAACAATGGCTGCTTGTAGATACAATTTCCTGTCCTCATCCACAGATGACAACGTCTGTTCCACTTCTTGAGGACTTTCTCGTTGTAGAGCTGCTGTGATCCGAAACTTTGTCCGTTTGTTGCTGTACTCAAAATTCAAAGTCAAGACTGTTTCAGGAGTCGGTGCCTGGAGCAAAAAAGTAAAATAAGTGAAATAACATCAAACTAATTTATATCAGGTATTTAAGCACATTCAGAATTCATGAACAATTGAATAAAAAATACTTAATCTACAATACCTGACTAAATCTTCCATTTTATTTATTTGTTGCTAATTTAGCAACATTTTCAGTAGTTTGAAATACACATCACTGAATGGTAGGATGATTAGGGAATTAATTTGAAATGATGTGGAACAAAGCAGTTGTGAGCTAATCTGATATACTACCCTGTCATATGCCTAGAACAGCTGAAGAAAATTATGAAATCTCCAGTCATGATAGCTGGTTTTCATGTTTCTTTGTCAATCCAGGCAAATGCTAATACAGTATACTCCTGCTTATCCATACTCAGATTTTCTGGTTTGTATCTGATCCATCCACCTTTATGGGTGCATCTGAAACCCTGAAGAGCACTTTCTACATTCACCCAGTTCGTCCAGCTGCCTGTATGTATGTACACAGAAGAAAATTTACTAACGGCTGTAGAGACTTTCATGAAATTTGATACTGGAGAATCTTACAAAAAATCAAAAAGTCACTTTCAATTTTCTTTTAGATTGGACAATTTTAATAACCACTTTATGTGAAGACCAACGTGCATTTCTAAGCATATCTCGAAGAGAATTCGCTAAACATTTTTCAGAATGAAAAATGTTTTGAATAAAACTATTAGGGAAAAACGGAACACACCCTTCATATTCAACACACTTGCTCCAAAAATTCTGTAGTCTACCCAATGATTCTCATGGGCCACAATGATCAGGACACCAAATGTATGGGGATTTTCTTCTTTTTTCTTCTACCCTGAAGATGGAGGCAATACGTTCCTCCAGAAAGTCGGTTAACACAATATCTAAACAGCGCAACATACCAGAAGACTGGTTTCTTCAGTACCTCTATTGTTTCATGTGTGTCAATTCCTGCAGGAACGTGATTACTGAGCCATTGCCTAGAAATGGCTCTGGTATGTTTGCTTATCTAGTGGTGATTGCATAGTAACAGCTCTACACACGACAGTATATTTCATTACAATATAACTGAATATACTGTTATAAATCATTATTCCATTCAAAATTAAACTTTAAAGATAATGAAACAAATGGTTATGAACTCATCAAAATTGCTATGCTATGCAGAGATTTTGTAACTTGCTTATGCTCTCAGAGGAACAATAATGCTGTCCATGACACTGTAACCTTATTTTAGTTGTATTATATATGGGCAAATATCCTGTTTACAGTAGAATATTTCGAAAAATTGTATATATAGTTTCATTAAATTTCAGTATATTATGTCACTTTAACTCTTCTACTGTTGGTGGTGAAACATTTGGAAGTTGGCTGTGATTACATAATATTCAACAAATTTCAGAAATCAATGTTACAGGAAACTGTTCCATCCACACCTATGAAAGAGTTAACTAACAAATTCCTGTGACCTGCTGGAGTGCACTGAAAGAACAGTCTTATTAATTACCTCTGTATTCGCTAATAGGATCTTGGATTCTATTAATGACATGAGATGTTTGCCAAACTGTTCTGAGTTCAACTGGAGAGACTCTTGAACTTCCTTGCAGGTAAGAGAATCAGTCTTCTCAAAGAGAAGTAGAATGGCCATCTGGAACGTCTGCATTGTGATCTGGTATGGCTTCTTCAGGTAACTAAGCTTCAGTTCAGCTGGAAGCCAAAGGTCAAGTCAGTTCTTCACATATGCAACTAAACTCTGAAAATGAGAAGTTAATAATTTACACGTTTCTCATACCTTGACATAAATGGTGTAACCACGTGAGCTTTCTTCCACTGAAGTGATTATGATAAAAATTCTCAAACTGCAAGAGAAAACAATATATTATTATTATTATTATTATTATTATTATTATTATTATTATTATTATTATTATTAGTATTATTATTATTATTATTAGATTCAGAACACCATGGATTAATATACGATATCCCAACTGTTCACGCATATTCCATTTTTAGGTATGCTATGAATTTTATATTTATAGATTTTATCAAAGGGAAAAAACTCAAACAATTAATTTTGTTTCCTTTAATATCCTGAACATGCCACTGGCCTTGATGTTCATTTATTGCAGATACAAATATGTTACTGAAAAACCACTCACTGCAGAGTCAGAAACTATACTTTGTACTGGTGTACACTGTATCAAACAAATTTCCAAACACCAGCTAATATGTCTTTTAATTTATGACATGTACTAATTTCCTGTAAGCGCCATTGTTGGGAAAATTAATGAAGTCTGTTTTGAACTTTACACAAAGTGTAGGTTATTCTGGACCACTGTGAACTGAAATTAAATTAGCCCAAAAATTTGCAGCGTAGATCCCGAATAACAAATTTCATTGAAATTCACACAATTTCTTCCAAGATTAAACACAAAGATATAAAGAAAGACATAACATATAATTATTTTACACACAGAACACGCAAAACTATCTCTATTAACACTCACACAATGTCATTAAATTAAATGTAATGAAAAATGTTGAGACCTATGCTCAAAGCACAAATGACATGTTTCAGTAGCAACTTTTAAGAGTAATGGAAATCACAATTCATGTAACATTCCTGAACATCTTTTGTCCACATAAAAAACCAAATAATGCTGATAAACCCATAAAGACATTAGTGATACTGAACATTCTGAACTCCAATATCTCATGTCTGGCAAATATCACAGACTAATACAGGAAAATTTATTTAAGGTCCTCTTTACAAGAGTATCTGTAACAAGCATAAGTATCGATTCTCCACACAGATGTGGTAGCTTCCTTCATCAGTATCACAATCTGTAGTACTGGCCAAAAACTTTAAAGCAAGAATAATGACACAAGAAATTAAAGTATACTCATGTAATTAAAAGTAACTGGAAAAACAAATTTTAATTGCACCCATACATCTATCTACATCTTGCTTTCTTTGTCAATATCCTAACAAACAGTAACTAAAACTTTAAGGAAGGGATACCACCGAAGTCAGGAAACTAAAGTACATTCAAGAAATAAAATTTGGAGAGGGTAAACTACTCAGCCAGATACTGGAATGTGGACCATTTAGACAAGGGTAGGACAGAGAAGGTGAGATAACAGGATCTTTACAAACTGCAAACCCATAAACAACTTTTGAATTAAATCTGCAAGTACAGTTAGTGGAAAAAGCTATGGGGAAAATGGTGGTGGCTAGTTAGGAATCATTCATTATGGCAAAAGTCATTGTTTATGAGATGATTTTCAATGTGTTTTACATTAAGAAACTAACGGTTTCAATGAATCTTGTGGCCTACAACGTGGATTTCATTGTAGTGATAATGAAATCCTCATAAGCCATGCTCATTCTATATCCTTTCATAATGTTCATGACACTGACAAATCAGAATTGCATTAATGAAGAAATTAAGAACAGATTAAATTCAAGGAATGCTTACTAATATTCCATTCAAAATCTTCTGTCTTCCAGTCCACTTCTAAAAGACGTAAAGATTAAAATATACAAAACTACAATTTCTTGTGTCCTTTTCTGTGGGTGTAAAACTAAGATCTCTCCTCATACTGAGGGAAGAACACAGATAGAGGGTGTTTAAGAACAGGGTGATGAGGATAATATTTGGTGCTGAGGAGGATGTTCGGGAGGATGGAAAAAAAATGCTTAATGAAAAGCTTGATAATTCTTACTCTCTGCCAAACATTAGGATAATCAATTCAAGGAATATGAGACGAGTGGGCATGCAGCATGCATGGAAGCGAAGCACAGATAATTTTGGTAGGAAAAGCTGAAAGAAATATGCCAGTTGGAAGATCTAGGCACACACAGGAGGATATTAAAATTAATCCTAAAGAACTAGGATGGGAAGATGCAGAATGGATTCATCTGCCTCAGGACTGATATCAGTGGTGGGCACTTGTTGACATGGTAATGAACCTTCAGGTTCCATAAAATCATGGAGATTTCTTGGGTAAGTGAGCAACTATTAGATTCTCAAGGAGCTCCATGGCATTAGTAGTTTATTTTCTACAGAGCTTTCAAGATGAAAATGTTACACACAGATAAATGAACCGCTTCACTTACCAAGCAAATACTTGGATGTACCAAGACTGAAGGAATACTGTTTAAGTTTTTCAACAAATTGCCAGCTTACCTTCAAACACCAGGAGTTAAAATTTAAATTAAATTAAAATATTCATGTATACACTAATTTCAGTTTTTTTAATGTTTACAAGTACAGGTTCTTAGTTTCTTTTAAAGTTTTTTGTGTAGAGGTTTTGTATAGTGCAACAGTGCATACCAACTAATAGTAAGACATTAGGAAAAAGAATTATCCTCTCTGTATGAACACTTCATTTCCTCTTTGCCTCTGAAATGTTTTTCTGTAGTATATTGCTAACATTCTCTTACCATTTGAACAGACTTTTCAAGTTCCTGTGGTACAGCAAATGGCGTTACTGAATTCTGTCCCAGTGGCCATGCTCCAGCCTTGAACAGTAAACAAAAATATCAGATACAGGGAAGTTTCTAATGAATGTGATGCGTTCATGGCTTCGTGCTTCACTATAATTGGCGCACAGCCAGCCACGGAGCACAAGTGAATTCTGCTGATGACTCAGCATACCCTTAACATTTGGAATGAAGGAAAGTGGTCTGTGAACAAAGGAGGTGTTGAAAACGCTATCCTCCTACATGTAAATATCTTTCACAATCAATTCCTTCATTACAGAACACATGTACAACAATCCTTCTTGAACCTACAGCACACCAGGCACCAACTTTCACTGGACAGCTTCAGCAATTGTGTTGCCGTTCTTGCACTAGACATCGAAAACTCTAAGACTCTTGAGCTAGACGTTTCGGTGATTTGGTGATTTGCTAGGTGTATATTCAAGTCTGGCCCCTACGTCATACAACTTCTCCTCAGTAAGCATTAAGCTCTTCTGTTTTTGTTTCTTGTCTATTAAGAGTCCCACTGTTCTAAGTTTATTCACCAAATTATGAATTGTCTGCTGGAAACTCTTTCATCATGAAATTTATGTCAACATTTTCGCTGACACTTTCTAGCAGATCTGTTTTTCAAGTAGGTGTCACACAAAAATATGCATTACTGTAAAGTACGAGTATACCAAACCATGTCATGCCACACTACTGATTAACTGTTAACTCCAATAAATGAACGACACTGCCCACTTTGTAACATAATACTGTGTAGAGGTCTACAGGTTGATTATTTTGCTTCATGGCCCGGTAGTGGTGAAGCACAGAGCCATGAACATGTCAACAGCTTTAAAAACCTCCCTGTATAATGAAATGATCTACTACTATCTACATAGTAACAACTAAGAGTAACCAAAGATATGCATTGAAGGCAGGAAAGCTGTATCCTGCTATCATGACTCTCACATTAGCCAAGAGAATTGCAGAAAAGCAAACTCTACAACATGTGAGATTTGAAAGCTTATATTTATTTTATTTCATGATACATGTCAGGAATTATGGTTGTAAAGAAAGATTAGCATGCAAGATGATCTGTCAGTGAAGATAAACAAGAGCAGGAAATTTAAAAGAGATCAAAGCAGTTTCATATTTCAGTACTTACAAAAGAAATCATTCAGAAATATAATTACACATGTGGCAAGGTGAGCACCAAAATTATTAATAATATCTGCCACATTAATTACATGTTATATTATATTTATTTCAGTGTGTACTGCTACAAAGTGGTAAGCAAGTAGGCAGGTAAAAGCATGGCACAAATGTGTGAAGTATCCCTTTGTTATTACAAAACAAATTTTCACGTCAGTAAACACACGGATTTTCCTGCACTAAGATTTGCACAAATTCAGCACTGCCAGAGTTGCTTAACCTTTAACGTATGAATATTAGATATATCTAACAGCAAGTAACACTCCGCTGTGGCAGCCGAATGTTAGATTTATCTAATGCAGTATACGTACACTCATTGGGTGTGCTAAGTTTGATCTTCAGGTTGAAACCACAAGAGACCCATGCAAGATCAAGTCAGTGGTTCATTCATTTGCTCAGAACAATGAAATCGTTTATTATGGTACTGGTTTTGATATTATTTATGTTTAGATATGACTGTTTATAACAGGTCAGTCAAATAGAGCACAGCTTTGTTTTGAGGAGTGAGAAGTAAATATTCACCTGAGCATGCAGATTAGTGCTACATGGGCTTGCAAGGAAATGGGTCATTTTCAAGGGTTTGTTTTCAGTAGTGAATTATCAGTCAGAAAGTCAGTGTCAGAATGTCAATTATTTATTTATAAAACATTTTTATTTTGTGTCTCGGTAGAGGTATAAAGTCACTGAAAACAACACTGCACATATGGGCTTTGTGGATAAATCTGACAGGAGGATATGGAAATAGGCAAAGAAATTGTTTTTCCACCTTCTAGACATGACTATTCTCAATGACTATTTACTGCACAAGTCATGTTGTGGAAAAATGACACATAAATTCTGCGAAATCCTAGTGCAAGATTTGATTGTACAGTTGCATGAGGCGAATATCACGGTCAGTGATGTTTCTTGGGGGGGGGCAAGTTCATCTGGGGCCCAACTGAGTCGCCTAGAGGTGAAACATTCGCAACACTGGCTATCCAAAGGGGAACAAAGACATTGTCGTGTGTTCGCTAAATAAGAAAACCAGGAGCACCCTCTTCCATTGTAAAAAGTACGATGTGTCGAGGACTGCTTCGACCAGTGGCACACGCATGTCATAGTGTGGGCATTGAATGGAGTTATCATAGACCGTGAAGTGACGCAGTTCATACTCACGTACAGCCTGAACAAAGGATTATTGTATATAGTGTGATTATTTTTTACAAAATCAACATGTCTGAAGTTTCGAGAAAAAACTATGGGTAAGTCCTTCGGAATTTCATAATATTGTCGCATGTAGGAGGGTATACGTGACGAAATGACGGATGGCTTCTTGTCACTTTCCTTCTGCTTCTGCCCTCTGTGGGTGACGGCCTCTCATTTTAGGCACCCATCCTGATTCTGGGGCCGTTCCTTCAACTGGCGGCGGCACTCCATGGCCAGTTTTCAGTCTCTAGCCATTTCTTCTTTGATTCTCTTACTGGCATCACTGTGGCATCTTTTAAGGGGACATCTTCTTTTTGTGTCACCTCAGGTTTCTTGTCCATTGAGGTCGCCTTTTCTTCTTGCAGCCAAGCCATCATCTTCACATGGTTGGCTCTAATTTCCTCTCGCAGTTGTACTTGGCCGAGTCGGCCGAGTCCTCTTGGTCGGCCTTCCTGTCTTCTTGGTCGCTATCCCTATTGGCCTCCATTCTGCCTATCTTGGTTCCATGAGTTTTCAGTTCTTCTTGCATGGACTTCATGAGTTCCAATAATTGTTCCATTTTCACAGGACAACCCTGTAAATACATACCTCAGTCTTCAATCAGATAATCGCTTCAGTCAATGAACTCCAACCAAATTGTGGCGTGTTTAAGTTTGTAACCACTGCTGAAGAATCCAATACTATCCGAGCTGCCAACTTCTGACACCAAATATGTCACGTGTAGGAGGGCACACATGACTAAATGATGGGTTCTAGTTCAGATGATTGGATTTATTTACAACTTGGTTACACGCACTCTTTTAATTACAATCAAATACAGCACTATCGCTGATATACTCAATCTCCAGTTCACCGTTGCTCACTCACTAGGATTCTCTGTCTTCCACTAGTCATCTCCAAGCAACGAATCTCCACACAGAAACTGTCACTTCAAATCACTCCAAATATTACACATCACATGTTCAGTTCTTCTTCTTCTTCCCACAGCTGCTTCACATTCGCTCCGAGAACTGACTGACTGACTGACTTCTGTTCTGCTGAATACTGACTAACACTGTCTTCGGCGGCTGCTACATTTCAACTGAACTTCTTAGTCAAGTCAAAGTCAAAGTCACATTGTGACTCGTGGTTGGTCAGTCTGTCTGTCTTTGTGTCGAGCCACAGCTGGGGCTCATGACCAGATGTTTCTTTTTAGATGAAAGTTACTGTCCTGTCCATGTGGGGCACCCTCTCTGACAAGAAGTCGGGTCTGCTGTTTGTCAGTCATAGTCAAAAGTATTAGTCCACTGTCACTATGTACGCTTATTTACAATCGAGTCCTAATATCTAGTATGTATAATATATACAAGGCCTCTGTCAGTCTAGGTTCAGTACAGCAGACTATGCCCTATTTCTAGTAGTATTCGCTACCATGGCAGTCTATTCACTTGAACAGTCGTATGCCTGACCGCCACCAAGTTTAAGTCTCTTATACATTCTGTGTCGGGCTTCGCCTTGTCCAATGTTGCAAACATTATCATTATCATGATTTTGTATGACTTCTGCTTGCTGCCCGCATAATTTTGTTATATAGGCATATACGTACAGGATTTTGAATGCCATGTGCAAATCGTGGACCGGTGTGTGCCTTGAAAATTGTCAATGGTGCGGAGAACCTTGTTTTGCAGGCACTGCAATTTCACTAGATGGATGTCTGCCGCAAACTCCCAGGTGGGACTAGCATAAGTCATTACAGATCTAATAAGAGCGTTGTGGAGGGTCAGTTTGATGTTAGCGCTCAATCGCTCACTTTTGAATAGGGAATATACTCTAATGAATGTTCATTTCCACTGTTGCCTAACTTGGCAACTGGCCGTTTGTCAAGAGTTTGTCTTCGTAGTAACTCATTCCACATCCCGTTGCCCAACAAGAGTTTGACATGTCACAATATATGTAATAAAGATGATATTTTGAATTTCATGACAAAATAATCACAGTATATTTTCATTTGTAAAAATTGCTCTTTTGTGTATATGTAGAAAATTTTATTGTTTTTCAGGCTGTTTTTAGTTCTTATTTCTATAATGCATAGAACAGAAAATATGTATTTTTTTTCTGAAAGTTTGCAACTTTAAATGCAACTTTAAAGACTTAGGGACAACAATGGAGCAGCCACCGCAGCCTTTCGGCAATTTAAAAATCCATACTTTAAAGGTTGAACTCTACTTCAGCAGTCATACAACAATTGCAGATGGTGGCCACAACTGTTAGACGTAAAATGTGCCTTCTATTTAAAATAATGTGTAAATTAAGAAACACTAAGAACGTACTACCAAAATTCATACCTGAAGGATGTATATGGAGAAACTGATTCCTAGATCTATATTGTCCAATTTCAGAAAGCTGTTGAACTTATTATTGAGATCAGACGACACAGACATGTCGGTAAACATCCGGTGTAGTTTATTAGTGAATTCATATCCACATGCTTGCTAAACAGAACAAACATAAAAATGTTTTAAAAGTAGGAACTTCTCTAATGCAAATACTTACTAATAAGTACAATACACTTTCTTTGACATTCAGTTGTTTACTACAGATTGTTTCACTGACTGCAATGTTGAAAACAATACCTATTAGAGCTTTAAGAAATTACTGTACAATGACAACTTCATATTGCAGTTTTCAAATATATATGTTTATACTTTACAGGATTAACTGCCTTGCTGTTGAACTACCTGCAGCTCCTGGACATTCCACAAAAAGTACCTGAATTATCTGAAGATTGGAAAGTGGAGAACTATCCAGGGAATTTTTAAAAGAAGAAAATGTTCAGCAATATACATTATGCATGTAATATCCTTTACATCTACATAATCATCAACTTGTTATATCTATTACCAAAACATAACCTGTATCAGTAGCATGTGGTGTGTAAACAGATGGCTTTCTGCTAGTAACTAAAACCTCACTGTTATCATCATCACTACTCACTACTGACTGTTTCTTAACAGTTTATCTTCTGTTAACATTCTAAAACATTCTTGCTGATACTATTATCATTAATTACTACTGGCTAATTATCAACATAACCACCATTATTTTCATCCAGATCAAAATCACTGCCTGCAAATAATCCATAATCAGTTCAATGAAAGCAAGAGGAAAACACCCCATAGACAGAATATACTAAAACTTGTACAAATTCATGTGCTTCTAGAGTAGCTCAGTTGAGAGAACAAAGCTAATACAAACCTCACACGTACAAGGATGAAATTTTGTAATGATGGTCTCAATAGAGCAGTTGAGAAGGAAGCATTTATATGTGGAAAGTCTGTACAATGAGAAGTCTACCAAAACTAATAATAAGTACTTTATTTAAAGATGTGTGTTAATGTACTAATCAAGCATACCTTAAGTCGATTTATCATGGCCTCCTCTGCATCCATGGATTGACTCTGAGAGTGTATCAGTCTCTTGGCTAACATACGGGCATAAAACTTCTGGAATATATCTTTATCATCAATATATTTGAAGATAGTTATACTTTGAGCTAGTTTTTCATCTATTTCACTTTCAGAGATACCTTTCGAAGATTTCTTCAGTAACGAATCACAGTATTTGGCAAGCTGTAAGAAGTATGTATATAAGTTATATGAAGCTTCAGTCTCATTATCTCATAAATAAAGTTCCTTCTTTCACTTGTCCTTATTGCTGTCTGTGTTCATGTGTTTCCATCTACTTTCTATACCCATATTTTATTTCTCTGTGTTCATGTCTTCAAATCTTCCTACATACAGTAAACTCTCAGTCATCTGGCATCCAAGCATCTGAAATTCTAGCCCAGCTGGCAAAAATGTCAACGAAGATTTACCAGTTTTATTAAGTTATTCAGAATTATAAATAAGACAAAAATATGTTCACATGCCATGCATTATTCTCCCAGCTGCAACTTGCAGCACTACCTGTCATCCTCCCTTATAAAGGTGCCATTAATATAGAGGCTAACTGAATCTGTGATCATACTACAGTACACGTATTCCAAATCTTTCACCCACCAAACCACTTCTAGATCAGGAAGCCTTTCAAGCAAGAACTAAAGCAAAAACGTGTTTTTACTTTGAATTGAGTTTCTGCAAGAGTTTTTCTCATGCAACAAGTAGATTCCTGTAACTGGAATACCCCAAGCCCCACACATGCCAAATAATGGGGAGTTTATTGTAACTGACATAGAGATATGACCTGAATGGCACTAAATTTCCAAATATATGGAAATAATGAAAGCATTACAATATTTCCTGGAAGTGGTCTCAGCTTTTAGTGAAGATACTTGCAAAAGACAACACCATTTTTGATTTGGTATGAATTTCCACTTATAAATGTGAGAAATATAAGAGTGCACAAAAGCTAAAACAAATTCTTTAAAAACATCGACGGTTTTGAAACAAACAATAAACTTTATACGTTCATTCAGATATGTTACAGGTATTACATAATATACCAATATCATCTGAGTGGCCAGGATTCAATTCTAGACACTTCAAAGACAAATATTTCTAGAACTGATTTATTCTTTCAACAGTTTGATAGGATTAGAATTGTCCCAAAAAGATGTAAAATTAAGATATCATTTTCCATTTTAGAAATTTTCTCCAACTATCCTGGGCCTAACTCTACATATTAAATGCATCAAGAAATCACTGTGCAGCACCACAGCAATATGTTTAAAAAAACAATAAATAATGTATGGTATGTAGTTACATTTTAAAAGCCTCAAGGTGATCAAAATATACAAAAAATAATCTATTCAAGAACTACATAGGAAAAATCTAAAACTGTTAAATGAAAACAATTGCTAGTCAAACTAAGAACAGCAGTCAAACAAATCCAAGTACAACAATAATCAAAATGCCTTCTACCTTGTTAAGCTGCTTATTTTTAATATAACAAAAACTTAACTCTTTTCAGTCCACCTAACACAACTACCACATAATGATAAACATGCATATATAATTCTCAGAGACATTAACACAAATCACAGAACACAAGTTCTGAGCCATTTTGGAAAGAAATATGCATTAACTTCACATGTATTCTCAACAATTTATATTGTGAACAGTTCTAACTTATGGGATATAACGATGTATAGTCCAATGAGAGATCCTCAAATCTAATGGAATTTATATTGTATTTCACAGAAAGAGTTTTTTTTAATTCATAAAAGCACACAATAATAGAAGATACTAGCACTATAAAAGAAAAATGAGTTTCTATCATATATAATACCCACCATTTCAGGAGACCTGCAGGCCATTTTGGGGTTCGGTCGATGATTAACAACAGAAGCACAGGCCTTGTCAAGGGCACCTATGAAGCTCTGATCTCCATTAAAAACATCCTGAATTAATTCCTTGTACTTCTTGTGAACAGACAACATATTCTCAACAAACTGAATATGGACCTATAATAAAAATAAAAAGTACATTACTGGTACTTCCAAATCCTACAGTATACCTATAAATACCAATGAACTTATGACTATATGAGGGGTGGAACTTTAATAGTGGCAACACTGGTGTAGACGCCATGCAACGGAACCAAATAATGTCACTTTTACCACACGTTAGATACACACCTACCTTACCTCAGAGGAAATGGACTCTCCCTTCCCACATCACGCACATGCGCAGTGATGAAAAGAACAGAGCCTCATGTTGGCTGGCGGTCTAATGTAGTGTTGTCACGATGTTTTCGAAACAGGAACAATGGAGTTGGATAAAGATTGAATGTGCCAGAGGCCGTACAGCACAACAGTGTTATCAAGGTCTTCAAGAGGCTTGCGAGGAATCTGCATCACCTTACAGAACAGTGGCAATGTGGGTAAAAGCCTTCAACAAGGGACGCCAAAATGTGGCAGACATGCGTCGGCCAGGTTGTCCTAGTGTCAGTGAAGAAGAAGGGTATGCTCTTTCCGCGTTACTGGAGAGTGATCGACACCATACGATTCATGAGCTGGCCCAAGAGACAGGATTAGTGCATATGATTAGGCTTCACATTCTGAAGGAACACCTGGGCATGACAAAAATTGCATCATGATGGGTTCCACATGATTTGACAGAAATACAGAAATGGCTACGATACGATGCTGCTCATAACCACCTGGAGCGCTATGAGCGCGAAGGAGAGGGTTTCTTATGCCGTATCATTACTCTGGATGAGACATGGGCCAAATCATATGAGCCACAAATGAATCGCCAATCGAATGAGTGGCGTAATTACGGGTCACCACGAAAATCAAAAGTTCGTCAGAACCAAAGCAATGTGAAAGTTATGGTGATTCTCGTGTACGACTGTGATGGTGTTATCCTATCGCATACCATTCCCCAACAGCAGATCGTCAATGCGCAGTATTACTGTTCATTTTTGGAACACAACCTGTGACCAGCTTTGAGAAAGAAGCAGCGACACTTTCTGCAGAACCCACCCATCATTTTGTAGGACAATGCTCGGCCGTATGCAGCACAAGCCGTGGCTGATTTGTTCGATCAATGGAGCTTGGAAGTGCTGTACCATCCACCATACTCCCCGGACTTAAACTCTTGTGACTTTGACTTGATTCCTAAGATGAGGGAACCACTTCATGGCATTTGCTTCAGAACTGTTCCAGAGATTCTTCAGGCAGTAGACTGCTCCATTCAAACTATCAACATAACAGGCGCTGCTAAAGGTATCCTACAACTTCCACATCACTGGCAACAGGTGCAGATTTAGATGACTACAATTTGCTGTGTGATTATTTTTTTCTAATGACTAATACTTGAATCACTGTTGATGCCCATGCACTACAGAATATGTATGGATTAGATGCTAAAAGATGATGCAGCTGAAGGAAAATAAATTATCAAAAAGTGGAAACCACAGTTTTTAATAGAACATCAGATGTTAAATGTGTTGCCAATTTCATTTGGTACATTTAACACCTCAGCAGGAGTAGTTCTTATGTTACAAAAATATCTGTTAGTTATCTTAAAGCATTTACATTTTTACTTACATTATCACCTTTAAGTCCTCTTACAGTCTCCAGTCCTTGTGCCTTTATGTGTTCAAGAAGCTCTACTATCAGTACACCAATGCCATCTTTCACTGATCGGAGCAGTGGGTACATATTGGACAGATCTTTGCATCTCTCCTCTCGCACCATTGCCTTACACTCACCATGTAGGAAAGCCAAATGATCTGCCACCATATGTTGTTCACAGCGAGCTTTTACTTTATCAAATGAACTAAAATGAGGAAAAGAGAATGAGATTTAAAGTAGCAATGCCAAGTGTACTCATTTATCTGCCAGGGAAAATTCAAATTTGGAAGAGGACACAGTAGTGAAAACTAATTTTCTACTAAAAATGATGATGTAAATCACCAAATTTAAAACAAACTCCGTGGTTTCAGTCCACAGGCAAACTATACCGACCAAGCGACTGCCACTTGTTGACGAAGTTAGTGCCAACTTTAGAGGATAGAAGATGTCACGTTGTCAGCGCAACGAATCCCCAAGGCCGTTAATTTTGGTTTCTAGATTGGTGACGCTATTTCCTTGAAACAGCTCCTCAATTATCCTCATGAGGCTGAGTGGACCCTGTTCCAGACCCACCACCATTCAGAAAATCTGGTAGGGCCAGGGATCAAGCCCGGACCTCTGGATCTGTAGCCAGGAATTCTGACCACTATGCCACAGAGGCAGTCAAATCACAAAATATGTGTATCAGAATTTCAGACAATGTTACAAATACATATATGAAAATGAAATTTCTTGAACGCTATTCTTAAACATTTCAGCACAGCAACACTTCAGGTGTTAGCAAGGCCCACATTCATTCATTCATTCATACGTACATACATACATACATACATACATCACATCAAAAAGCACTTTGCTCAAAATGTGTGATTATTAGATAATATAATGAACATATGAATACCTCTTTCAACATTTAATCATGCTTTTAATCATTGTCACACTACATATTCTACTACTACTTTCAGAAAACAATGCACTTCTCTCACTGAACTTCCGTCTGCTTATACAGTCAGATATTTTTTTAACATTGTGAATGTGGGATGAATTCAACACCAGACAATATTTACTAGCTACTGTAAACTGTTGTACTCTATGTAACTCTTTTGTGTTCCATGTTATCCACCTGATGGTGGTTTTTGTAGCACTTAAACTTGTAACAGAGTAATATTAATACTTTGTTTTTGTGTAATATATTGTAATGTGGATGCAATGCTCGTTAAACACCCCCTCCCCGCGGTGACCTAACAGGGGAAACCGTGGTTGCTATGCAGCAATAAACAACTCTCGGCAGCGTTGCCCAACAACGCCTTTGTAAACACAGTGTCACACAACAGGGGAGCCCGTGCAGCGACTCTTGCTGGGCAATCGGTAAACACGACGTCACACAACACTGAAAGCTATCATCTAACTGTTCTCTGTGTTGTCTGTGCCGAGGCTAAATAAGGAGCAGCAAACACTATTCAGTAGTGAGTGGTTAGTAACCAGACAGTTAAAATGTAGCAGCTGCTAAAGTCAGTTGCAGTCTACCATTCGTGGGAGGAAGTAATTGTGATACTGCTGATGGCAGTGTGTAACTGTGAGTTGTATACATGTACGAGCAAATGTGAAATAAATTCACTATATTCAATATGGCGTAAAGTTATTTGCCACGTTATATATCCAAAAAGTGACAAATTGGTGTCAGAATTGCTTTATGAACTTGAACACGCCACAAGTTACGAGTGTTACACTGCCACAAGATGAAAATTGAAGAAATATTGGAATGCCTGCTGGCCGCCCAAGAAGATTTCATGGCAAAATTAGACACCGAATCGAAAGCCTGGCGAGAAGAGATGGCCGCAGAAACAAGAACTATCCAAGCAGAGATGAAAGCCATTGAAGCGAGCACAGCCGCCATGCAAGAGAAGAGGTTGAAAGCCAATATGAATGCCTGGCAGGAAGAGACAACAGCCTGCCCAGATGAAATGGAGGCAAATCTAGAGAAGCTGGAGACAGACACAAGGAAAAAAAAAAAAAGAGGATATCGTGGAACGACAGAAGATTCCTAACGAAGAAACAGAGACAATGTCCTGCCAATAGATGGAGGCACGGCTAGAAGAAGAGCCGACCTCAGTGAACAGGAAACCTGAGGTGGCCCAACAACGAATGGTACCCACAGAAGACGCCACAGTTATCCCAGTCGGAGAACCAAAGAAGAAAAGGCGGAAGGACCAATAACTGGCTGCGGAGTGTCACCGCCAGATGAATGAACGGGCCCAGTGTCAGGATGGGTGCCGAATAAGAGGACTTGCTGTCGCCAGCAGAGGACAACCCACCATGCGAAAGTGGCACGGCAGACAAAGTAAACCAGCAGAAAGATTTCCGGTCGTCCAAGAATCGCCTGAAGCAAGAGAAGCATTGGTAGGAGAAATTGTATCAGGACCAAGAATGAGGAAAGAATCCAGAGACTCAGAGAAAGAGTGCGGATTCTCCACAAAGGAAGAAGAGGAATAAAGAACATAGGCGGCAGACAGCCACTATGCCAGAAGAAAAAGGTGCCAACCAAGAACGCCATTAGAGGGTGCAGATCAGGACAGCGATCGCGCCTAGGAGGGAGAAGAACTCGTAAGAAGACCCCCTACAAGACTGTCAATGTGAAGATCATGAAGCGAATTACCAGCTTTACTGCTGGGTTGCTACCCATCAAAAACTGGAGACTATGGAGGGGTCAACCCCCTCCAAAAACGAAAAAGAAGCAGAGCACAGAAGAGGATCCGGTAATGTAGAAACACCGGCCTCCCTGGTATGAATGAGGACAGATTAAATGTGAGGAGTGCATGTGATACAACTGGATCTTCTGGCACGTTAGCAGGAAACCGCTCGAGACAAGCTGGTCTTAGAGAAGGAGTGGATGTAGCGGTTGGAGAGCACAGCAACGGGAAGAAAAAGGAACAGGGATGTACCGTTTGGCTGTTCGGGACGAACAACCTTTAGGAGGGAGCAATGTGACGTGGATGACTCAATGCTCATTAAACACCCCCTCCACCACAGTGACGTAACAGGGGAAACCGCGGTTGCTATGCAGCAATAAACAACTCTCAGCAGTGTTGCCCAACAACGCCTTTGTAAACATGGCGTCATACAACAGGGGAGCCCGTGCAGTGACTGTTGCTAGGCAATCGGTAAACACAACATCACACAACACTGAAAGCCATCATGTAACTGTTTTCTCTGTTGTCCATGCCGAGGCTAAATAAGGCGCAGCGAACACTGTTTAGTAGAGAGTAGTTAGTAACTAGACAGTTAGAATGTAGCAGCTGCTAAAGTCAGTTGCAGTCTAGCATTCGCGGGAGGAAGTAATTGTGATACTGCAGATGGCAGTAATTGTGTAATTGTGAGTTGTATACGTGTACGAGCAAATGTGGAATAAATTCACTATATTCAATACGGCGTAAAATTATCTGTCGCATTATACACCCAACACGTGACAATATATATACAGAGTGCCCCAGGAGGAATGTGCCAGACTTCGGGAGGGTGTTCCTTATGTTAAAGTATGCCGATATAACTCCAAAACACCTGTGTCCAAAGGTGAACGGTTACGGAGATAATGGCCAGAGAAGTGTGAAACTTTGACAGGTGTTACACACTTGTTGATTACCAAATACATATTAAAACTGCCAGGAATATGTCATTTCTGTAATGTTAATAATGTACGTAACATCAAACTAACTTGTGAGTGACATGAAGCCATTAAATTGAACTACAAATAAATGTGCACGCCATGTCATAGTTGTCGTTAGGGTTCCAAGCACTATACATGACACATGAATTGCAAGCACTGACATAACATGGCTGACTGCACATTCTGGTATGTGAGTGTGTGCGGCTAGTGAGAGCCGTTATCACCACACTCAAGGACAAACATCAATAAAACTTGTCAGCTGACAGGGACAGTGCGTGGACCCACCAGAAGACCACACTTTTCTCAGGCCATTATCTCCATAACCATTCAACTTTGGACAAAGGTGTTTTGGGTTATATCAGCATACTTTAACATAAGGAACACCCTCCCAAAGTCTGGCACATTCCTCCTTGGACACCCTGTATATATACACTCTGAAACACTGTATGAATCAAAACAAACATCAATGTCTCTTTTAAAAACACTACATAAAATTAAAATGTTATACTGAATTTAAAAATGAAGTACCTAGAATGTAGAAACTTGTTGCTCCGAAGTGTCTCTTCTTCTAGTCGTTGGATAACTCGTTCCATGTACTGACTTACATCACACTCCTGTAGCAATTTACTTGCTTCTCGCTTGTAGTACTCACCACTTGCCTGTAGAAAAGGTGCCTCAAATATTTCCTGATACAGCTACAAAAATAAGAACAGTAATGTAATTAATAGCAATGAATATGGTTAAAATTATAATATATTAAAATGCTAAATCAACAAATGCATGACATACTTCACTTTAGAAGTATACTGAACATTAACAAACACAATTGAAGTTCTGAGGTGTTCTATTTTCATGACCACAAAATATAATAAAACAAAATCTAAACTGAGGAAACACACTTTGCATTTAAATTGGGAGTTCCACATGTGTGCTTCTTGTTATCCATCACACATCGAAGATGAGATCATTTTGATCTTTCTCTCTTTCTGAGATTTCCATAATGGGAACTATTTACATTGATATGCTTAATTTTTCAACAAGTGAAAAAAAAAAGGATGGTGAATTTCCCCCTTTTAGCAGCTGTTCAAACTACTCTAAATCAAAAGTTTCCAGACTGCAGAATGGGAAGAGGTATCCCAGTTTTACTAGTCCATTAATTTAACATCATGGCATCCTTGTAATTATAGCCAATGCTGATACATTAAAACACAGGTTTCTGATGGTTACTGAATCCAGAACTGTCTGTCATCTCAGCATCTGCAGCCTTACAAAAGGTGCACATACTGAACTTCACTAACACACATTTTAGATCCATGCAATCATTTTTGTTTTTCATAAATCATGCATCATGTTTATAAATATATACCAACTTGGAAGCACTGCACATATGAATGAGCAGCTACCCATGTGCTTCAAAAGTGGTAACCAAAATCTAAAACTTACCTCTAGTTTTCCTTTCCTTTTGTAATCCTCAACGCTAACAAATGAGTTGATTACTCCTTGAACAATATCAGTAATGTTCGGGCTTGCTTCGCCTAGACGATCATAATGGATTCCTTCAAGGAGTAAATTAACTAAGTTCTCCTTCAATGGTTCCACCATGTTCTTCTTCCAGATTTCTAGTCCTACATTAGGAACAACAATGTGAAATAATCATGAACCTTCCAAAATACTTGGACAATCAACTATAATTAGGTATTCAAGGGTGCATATCATAAAATAATAGATAAGGGATAAAGATAATACAAAAGATAAGAAAGGAAATGTATTCCTACCATTATTATTCAATTCAATTCAATTCTTTATTATTTATGTACTGAGCCAACAGCTGCAAGGCCAATTACAGACTTAGCACGGTGTAGATAGAAGTAGTTACATACTGGACAAACACATGATTAAGTTAAAGAAGAATTAAATGTAAATATTGGAGGAAAACAAATTAATGCATATAATTAAACAAATAAAATAATAATAATGTCAACATATAGGGAGGCATGCATGACGAAATGACGGGTGGTAGCTCAGATGATTGGATTTATTAACAGCTTCGTTACATGCACTCTTTCAATTACACTCAGATACAGTGCTATCACTGATTCACATACACCTCACAATCCACTGTTGCACGAACACACTAGTCCTTTCTGGATATTGAATCTCAACGCAGAAATTAGCGCTTCAAATCACTCCAAATACTGCACATGAGATCTTCCTTTTACACTCCCAGTATCAATGTGCCATCACACACATAAAGTCTTCTAAATCACACATGACATCCTCACAGGCAACCTTCTCTATACCATATACCACATCATTTATCCGGGTGACTACCTCTGCCCCCCTTTCTTGAAGAGTGCTTGTCCCATGCAGCTCCATGGTAATCATCCTCTCACATTCTCTCTCTCATTCAGTCTCACTGGGGAGGCTGGGGCTCCTCCTCTGTTTCATGGTTCTTTTTCATTTTGGAGGGGGTTGAGCCCTCCACAAGGTCCAATTCTTGATTTCCCACAACCAAACAGTATATCTGACCATTCACTTGGCGATCTACAGTCTCGTAGTTTTCGTGAAATTCATGCCAAATTTCCGCTTATACCAGTTGTCATTTGTTGTATGTGTGACCCGACAAATAACTTCAAGCAGGTCTTGGATTTGGCAAATGTTTATTAGGCACTCGCTTTTACACTTACACAATTCACAGTGTCCCTATTATTGTCACCTATAATGTCCTCTAGACTCTTCATCATCACAATTTTCGTTGCTCTCAGTCAAGTGTTCTTGGCGACTGCTACACTTCAACTAACTCATCTGGTGCACTGATCCTCCTTACATAGGCCTCTCACGGACCACAAAGAAAACAGCCTATATTATTGGAACGTGTTTATCAACCGATTGCATAGTAACAGTCGTGGCATGGACTCCATAGAAAACACTGCATTCCCATTGTTAACTTGCATGTATTTGGTCATGAGGTGTTTCACAGTCAGTTACCTAGCAACACTGTGTCCATCCACGTTACATTATCATTTTCACAAATCTAAGGGCCGCGCCATACCTCAAGCAGTTAGTAGCTGGCTTCCCACCGCGGCAGCCCGGGTTCAATCCCGGGTCTGGACAAGTTGGATTTGTGGTGGACAAAGTGGCGCTGTTTTCTCCGAGCACTTCGGTTTCCCCTGCCAGTCTTCATTCCACCAATTGCTCCACAATCACCCTCACCTATCATCTGGGACTGGTACAATAAGCCAGAAGTGGCTGCACTACAAGGGACTTAGTCCCACCCCACTAGTAATAAAAAAAAATAGAAAAATTACAAATCTAAGTTGCTTTGACAATTGAGAAATGAAAAGTATAGATATTCAGAGAGAATAATAATAATTCAGTTTAACTGTTGTTTATGTTCATGCAAATAATAATACTAACAATTTTTTTTATTGCTAGTGGGGTGAGACTAAGTCCCTTGTACTGCGGCCAATTCTGCCCTATTGTACCAGCCCCAGATGATAGGTGAGGGTGATAGTAGAGCAATTGGTGGAATGAAGATTAGCAGGGAAAACCAAAGTACTCGGAGAAAACCTGCACCAGCACCACTTTGTCCACCACAAATCCCACTTCACCAGAACCGGGATCGAACCCGGGCCACAGCAGTGGAAAGCCAGCAACTAACCACTTGAGCTATGGCGCGGCCTATAGTAACAATTATACCACATTTAAAAATCGTTTGAAGGGAACATTCCTAGCTCCAAATACGTTAATATTTATGCAGAGAACATTAGCAGCTGCTGCACATCTAGCAGAGGGACAATTTTTACATGAAGAGCAGACACTGAACAATGAAAAGTCTCTGATATACTGAGCAGGAACTTTGAGAACAACAATTTCCAGAACAGAAGGGCAGAATTTCAAACGAAAGTAAACTTGAGTAAGAAAAAGAGCTTTAAGAAGATGTCTCCTAATATGTAGAGTATGCAATTTTAACCCCTCCAAAGTAAGGGAATAACAATAGTGGACCTGAGGATAGAAACGATTAAAACAAAGCGCCACAAACCTCTGCTGAATGCATTCCAGCTTGTTGGCATCAGTTAACACAATTTAATTCCAGACTACGGACGCATATTCAAGTTTGGATCTAACTCATACAGTGTACGACCTGAGCATACAGTCTAGAGATGAGAAATTGAAAGCAATGCCACAAACTAGACCCAACATTTTAACACAGTGAGAGAAAATATAATTGACATGGTCATGGAAATAAAGTTTAGCATTAATAAACACTCCCAGGTCTCTTATAGAATCGGTCCAGGTTATAGACAATTGACAAAGTTTATAATCATAGATCAGTACATTTGTTTTCCTGGAGAAGGATATAACTTTAGTATTACTGATGTTGAGTTTCATACAGTTAGCAATGCACCAACCTTGTATAGAGTTAATGTCAGACTGAAGTAGATAGCAGTCCTTTGAACTAACAGTTCAGTAAATTTTGATGTCGTCAGCAAAAAGTAGACAGAGTGGGCAACTGCATCACATATGTCATTAACGAACACATTGAAGAGAAGGGGTTCCATGACAGATCCCTGGGAAACACCGGAGAGAACTTCAAAAGGCAAGGAAAGAACACCAGAAACATGGACGTGAGATTTCCGATTGGATAGGTAATTGCAAAACCAGTTTACATAACTACCAGAAAGCCCAACAGCACTAAGATTACGAAGAAGAAGAGAATGTGGGACGTGGTTGAATGCATTGCTCAGATCAAAATAAACTGCATCAGCGTGAGATAAGCTTAGATTAAAGATACATTTAAGAATAGGTAGAAATATATCAGTATAACCCTCAACAATGAATCCAGGAATATCATCGACTCCAACAGATTTAGACGGTCTCAGGCACTTAATGGCTTTGACGACATTAATTAACAAATATACAGTTAAGTAAACAAACTCATTCTGTAATACTTCACCAATCTGTAAGTCTTTTAGAAGCAAGTGATGAAGTTAAAGCAGACAATGTTCCTTCTCCTAAGCATCATACAACGAAGGCATATTGACGGAGGGGAAGAAAAGCTTCAGACATTCTTAACCTTGTTACCAGAGAGTGGTCAGTGAGCAGTCTCGTGCTGTGACCACTTGTCTCTTCAAGGAAAAAGCCCTTATTACCCACTGGGTCTGTGGCTGGATGGTCCCTGGAGTCAAGAAATATAAATTTCTGCCCGTGTAAGGAACAGAACTTAGTCTTCCAGCACATTTCCACTACAACAATTACCTTCAAAGAACAGAGGCCTTAAATAGCTAATATTTGCTCAGCTAGTCAAGAAATTTGTCACCTTTAATGGAACCTGAAGACTCAACACCATCTTTACACGAGCCTGCCACTAACTAATTCCTATCCACAGCCAAATGAATCCAGCCCACAACCCCCACCATACACCTTTCTTTAATAATCATTTCAAATTATCATCCATTTATGCATAGCCACTATAACAGTAACATATAAATCAAAACTGTTTACATGACAAACCTAGTTCTCCAATCTCCATCTGCTCCTGAGTATCAGGTCCAAGGGTGCCATAAATTACTTCTGCATCTGATAATTTCTGCTTCTTAATGTGCTGCTGATTCAGATATCTGGAATAACAATAAACATGGTGCAAAGGCATAATTTAAAAATTGGTGCAATTTGCTATATTAAGTACTGTTGCCAGATATTTCAATTTAATATTTTAACTTCATTTAATTATGAGTAAACTGCATGAACCACATAAAATGTAGATTCTTCATTCCATTATTTTATAGCACCAGATTGACCGTACAAGATATGGATGGAGATAAGGATGGAGAAGGAAGCAATCATGGGCTATTTTAAGGCAATATCCTGACATGTCCATGGAGGAAATGAGAAAACCCATAAAAGCTGGAACCAAGATACAACTTGAACTGGGTACCTACTAAATGTGAGGCTTGACAAGAGCAGTGCTGTACAAACCTATGTGGCTCCTAAGATCTTTGTGACAAAGCCGTGTGTTACTGTACGGCAAAACAACCATAATCATATCAAATGATGCTTATTGATTAGCAATGCTCCTGAATTTTGGAGGTCAAGAGATTAAATATTGCCTAAGAAATGTTATTCTAATACTGTTCTTGGTTTTCTCAACCCCCGATATATTCGTATATCTTAAATATGGCCACAATCTCCTCTATATATTAAGTCCACTTCTGTAATCACACTTGTCATTTCTCATTTAATAATATGACAACAGTTAACAAGGGGTCATCAAACAAGACAACTCATCACGAAATATATTTAAAGATGCAAATAATTTTGAAGTAAGAATCTTATTAACCTATGAAAATGAGAAAGAATGAAATATATATATATATATATACACTTACTTATATATTTTATAGGGCTGCCAACAGATGTGTTAAAAGACTATATACAAATAATTCCTGGTAATATGTTCACATATAGCAATCAGTTATTGCATTTACACCAAGAGTAATTAATATACAGTACCAAATTTCAAATCCCTAGCCAGAATAGTTCATTAGTTATTGCAATAAAACTGAAACCTAAATACAGACAGCCCATGCAGCCACCATATTGCTGTCTTTATATTCTACAAAACAAAATCACCTCAACAAAAATTGCATATTTTGTCAAAGATCTAATACTTTTCATCCTTTCAGGACCTTATATTACATAGTGCTAATGCTACTCACACCATTTAAGTCTGTGACTTGCCTATGTTCTTATTACTAATTGTAGGAAAATAAAAAGCATGATGTTTGGGGGTGGCTTCAAATGTCATAACATTCTTACCAAATTTTATGGAAATCAGCAAACTCCTTCTAAAGTTTACAAGGACACACACAGGAAGGTGGACCTCACGTCTACTTTCCTCCCGTAAAAGAAAGGAGAACAGCCTAATAGTGAACCTATTACAATTAACAGAGAGCGCATTTGAAATTGCTAACTCTTTTTAGGTATTACTGTTCAACAAATTCCTGAATAATGCAACTATTTTTTTTATTGCTAGTGGGGTGGGACTAAGTCCCTTGTACTGCGGCCACTTCTGGCCTATTGTACCAGCCCCAGATGATAGGTGGGGGTTATTGTGGAGCAATAGGTGGAATGAAGATTGGCAGGGGAAACCAAAGTACTCGGAGAAAACCTGCCCCAGTGCCACTTTGTCCACCACAAATCCCACTTGACCAGACCAGGGATCGAACCCAGGCCGCCATAGTGTGAAGCCAGTGACTAACCGCTTGAGCTATGGTGCGGCCCTAATGTAACTATATATAATACTTTACTCTCAATGGGCGAGGCTTCTGAGATCTACATTAACTCTTTCAGAGCTTCCAAGACATTTTATACCATACACTAGTTCCATATATAGTCTGGACAAGATATCTTGCAAAGGTATGAGTTTCACCTAAGTTATGTACATTTAAACTAAAATCATACCCATGGATATGTCATATCAAAATCAACACTAAGACAGAATCTAATGATTGTGCTATCTTTCACAATATTCTGTGGTCTACAAAAAACAGTACACAAAGTGTAAAAGCCAGGCTTCACAATTTTAGTAACCACATGGCAACAACGCAAAACTGTTTTGGTAAACAAGCAAAAGATTAATCTGCCATTCATTACATGAATTGGAACATAACAGCATTACTTTAAATCCCCAATGTCCAATGTTTCTACATGCACCACCAGCTTTAAAATACTAAAACTCTGCATTCTGTCACAAAACATGATTGTGTTTTGTATGGTTCTCATAATAAACAGTGACTCTTTCCCTAAACAGGATTAACTGGTTGATCTTTGTAGCATAGACATAATGTACTTCTTGTGAGGTATGAACTGAATTCTTGTTTTCTAGAAGGAATTCAGTTTTAAATGGATTAACTGCACTACTACCACAGTAAATAAGCAAATAAGTAAGGATTATGGAAAGTACTGTAGACTTGTAAGGGTCATTTTTTTTCTTTCATAACCTTCACTGTCCACTGTCCTATTAGCCAAGATTTGTCTTTCAAATACCTATAACTTTCTCCATACAGAGGGGCTCAAAAGAGATATATACACACTTCAACATACAAAATATCTACTTATATAAGTTACTGATAATCCAAATTTGATACACAAAAAAGAGGATGATTTCAACAAATGTTAAACTAGAACAAGTTTTCAAAGTGCCACCTTTAGCTTGTAGACACTTCTGAGTTCACCAGACTACTGCACAAGCAACCATGGCCAAGGTATCCACAAGAACTGTGGCACACAACATTTCAATTTCTTCCCCTAACATCTCCAGTGTCCAGCACTTTCTGTGATACACCACATCCTTTGGGGACCCCCACAAGTAAAATTTGAGGGAAGTTAAATCAGGTGAGATGGAGGATACTCAACACTATCTCTTCATCCTATCCACTGACTGGTAGGGTTTCACCAAGCTAGCTTCAGACATCTCAGTAGTAGTGTGGTGGTGCACGATCCTGTTGAAAGTAAAATGACTCATTCCCAATAGAGCTGATGCTAGCTATCCCTGTAACAGGCCATGAAGGACAACAGGGTTGTGAGACATCAAGGCTCCCACATTTTCTAGACAATCAGCTCACATATGACAGTCAGGTTGTCAGCCATATGTGCCAGCCACCCTTTACCTCCCAGGAAGAGTCCTAGTTTTCAGATTTGTTTGAGGCTAATTTGACCCCAGGGCCATAGTGCAGTTAGAAGGATTGGGTCAACTGAAAAATCCAACGACCTCATCAGGATTTGAACCCGCAACCTTCCGGCTTGTAGCACAGTGCCTCAATCAACTACACTATTGCATGTTCCCACAGAGCAGATGAATGGCACGTAAAATGGATGTCCAAAGCTTGCTGAGGTACACATGCCAGTAACTGTTCCTTCAAAAATAATGGTCAATTAAACCCCTGCATGACAGTCAACACCAGGTGAGTCCTGGTAATTAATCTCCTTGTCCACATGAAGCTGTGGATTTTCAGGAGTCCAATAGACACAATTATGGCAATTCACTATACCATTAAGCTTAAATGTTGCTTCAACATACCAAACAATTTTGTTCAAGAACTCCTCATCCTCGTGTACCTTGCGTTGAAACCACTCACAAAACTGCACTCTTCAATCAGGATCATCTTTATTCATGGAATAATCTTCATTCCATCAAACTCTCCATAACCATAACCACCCAGGATATATATCATTCGAATCATAATTTTATTATCTTTGTATACTATTATATCATTGTGTTATATATTGTATTATTATTATTATTATTATTATTATTACTTATTGTATTGTAAAGTATTGACTTGTCCTATATCATGTACAATGATCCATGGATATGATATGAAATAAATAAATAAATAAATAAATAAATGTAATAACCTTTGGGTGTAAACTTTCCATTTAGGACACTTTAGAATGCGTTGTACATTTGATTTGCTAATTCCTGTCTCCTGTGCACAATGTTCTGCAGACTTTTGTGCTGATTGTGTAAACTGTTCCAACTCCACAGTAGAAGAGGTGGGACTCATTGTTGCGAAAGGTCTCCCAGATCTTTGCTTTTGTACATCATGCACTGTACCACTGCTCTCAAATCTGTCACAAATGCATGCAACTGCTTATTGAGTTGGTGGTACTGCTGCTAATTCACACCACCACTGTCCTTGCATTTTGCAAACATTTCCATATTTCCAGTACCACTTCAAAATTATCATGTGTTGTTCAAATGACAACTGTTCCATTGCCATTTTCTTTGACAGTCCTGCCATGGGGCACACAGCAGTGTAGTTGATTGAGGCACTATGCGACAAGCCAGAAGGTTGTGGGGTCGATTCCCAATGAGGTCACTGGACTTTTCAATTCACCTAATCCTTCCAGCTGCACTATGGCCGTGTGGTTGACTCGGCCTCTAACAGTAATGAGTACCAGCAATCTTCCTGGGGGTAAAGGGTGGCCAGTGCATACAGCTAAAAACCTCATTGCCTCTGTGAGCCAATTGTCTAGAAAATGTGGCAGCCTCAACATCTCACTATCCTATGGGCCTCCACAGCCTGTTACTGGGATTGCTTTTCCATACCTCTTTGTTTGTTTGTTTTTTTTTTTTTTTTTTTTTTTTTTTTTTTTTTTTTTTTTACCTGTCATTCGATAAGGTGGCTCTGGCATTCAGGTGGCCAGCACCATCTTTTGAGAGGGTATCACACTACACACTGTAAATTACAATTCAGTCCAACTTTGAAAATGTCCAGTAAATTACAATTCAGTCCAACTTTGCAAATGTCCATAGAAAACCTCTATTAAAGTGTATGTACTTTTCTTTTGGCCCCAGTGTATACTATTATAAAAATAAATAGTTTATTCAAGGTCTCATGCATTAGTCTAATTTAAAGATAAAGGTAAAGTTTGTTGATTTGGAATATAATACCTGTAATAATACTATCCTGTCTTTAATTTTCTGGGATTAAAGAACCCTTCATAAGAAACAGGATTCCTAACCACCTATCCTGAAACTTCAAGAGAAGAGGATACTGAAATTTGGAAGAAACTTGTACATATTTTGTCTGTGCAAAACCTTTTGTAGTTTTAGCAGCATTACAGGACAGCATGATTTTGTAAAAATTTCATGAAAAATTTCTGAAGGGCCCTATTTTGGGGCATACTGACCCCCAAATACAGTACTTCAAGCACTGTGATATACCGTTGCTAATTTTACAGATAGGCATGTTATATTTTTAAAAAATATTCCTAAAGAGCAAATCCTTAACCTCAAAGGAATTTTTATATGTAACTCACTTTGCCTACAAATTATCTCCAAAATTGTTTCACTGACATTACAGTATTTATTTTACTGAGGGTTCCCTATGCCCTAAATTTCAATTTCCCTCTTGGAGGATATGGGTTGTATACATTGAAATATAGCAGGTAAATATTTCTTGCAGATGGCATAAACGGATCCTAAGTTATATCACCATTAATGTATGGATTCAGAGATCGAACAAAGTGTGAGAAACAGTCAGTTTGAGCTTAAGACACAGTTTCAAAATGTATATCTCACCATAAGTACTCAATATGCATATCTGTAACAGTCCTTTATCAAAATGCACCTTAGTATTAAGCTGAACTCCAATTATTTTATTATTTAAATTTCTTTATCAATACTGAAATGATATACTATGCCCATCAGAGATAATCCTGGGGCATAATATTAGGATATTCACAGTCCTCAAATATCACAGATTCACTTAAAAGAATAGAATAAAATTGCAAAAACTGTCCTTTTTTTTTTCATTTCATGCATCCTGTTGTGTTTTAATCAGATTTCACTGTCCACCTCCCTTAAAATATGGTGTATTTGATCAATATATTTTCCATGACAGAACCTTGTAGTTTTTCTTCAAAAGCTTCCCTATAACAATACAACCCACTTATACAAGCAACTGATTTTTACATTACAATATTTTATGCAGCAAACTTCCATGTAGCATTATTCAATTTCAATTTATTTCAAATTCAAAAATAGATCCAGATACAGGCTGGGAAACAACCATTGGATATAGAATGAGTCACGGATCAAAAAACAAACATTCTATTCCCACAGGAACAAGTCAAGGCATTCATAATATAAAACAAATAAAAAAGAACATATCAACCATATATACAACAAAACTCCCCCAATTTACAAAAACAACGCAGAACCAAGACATCTTAATCTACTTATATATCAAATTGTTAATATTCAGAATTAACTTGACTTGTCATATATCATGTACAATGATCTACAGTGACGAAATAAATCAATCAATCAATCAATTTTATTATATAGCTCTCAAAGGTTTCAGGCGTCAGTACAAGCTCTTTTTTCATTTTCATTACTCATCTATTATTTCCATAAAATCCAATACTTTAGGATGTAGAAAAGTCATTTTAGATAAATAAGCAGTACAAAGAACTAAGTCAAGACATAAGAATAGAACCAGAATACAATTAATCTTACCGACTAGTATATACAAAAAATTCAACCACAGTATAAAATGGGTGACAACTCAAGAATTCTTTTAATTTTAATTTAAACCGTTTAATATCTTTATATAATTGCTTCAAATTTAGTGGGAGACAATTGAATAGTTTGATGCCCATATAATATGGGCCTTTTTATATAATGATAAACAAGTTGAGGGTTGATGTAGATTTGAATATCTGTCTAGTGTCTCTATTATGTATATCAGATACATAATAATATTGATCTATGCTATCGACCACAAAAGACATAGTGAATAAATATACAAAGATGAAAGAGTAAGAATTTTTAGAGTACTGAATATCGTTTTACATGAGTTTCTATTACCAGCACCAGTTATTAGTCTCACCGTCCTCTTTTGTAAATGAAAGACATTGATGGCATACAAAGAGTTACCCCAAAAAATAATGTCATATCGAATAATAGAGTGAAAATAAGCGTAAATAAACAATCAGCAAAGTTTCCTGATTCACAAATGGTTTTATGACTTGAATTGCATAGCACGCAGAGCTAAGTTTTGGGGTGAGTCAGTCAATATCATCATTTTGACATAATTGTATTAAGATAACAATAATATTCCCACTCAAATATACTCACAGGTAAAGACAATGTAGATATCCAATTCCTGTACTGTATTCAACCCATGCTTGATGGTAACATTTAAGAAGATTAGCTTCTCCATTTGCTCGCACCTTCTCAAGGAGGACTTTCACATGGTTATCAAGAAAGCACTTTGTTTCCTGATATAGTCTATCTGCGAATGGTTCTGGATATGCCACACACATGGCATATATATCACTGAAAACGCAATAACAATTTGAAGAAATATCCAACAACAGGCAATTTTAACTCAATTGCATCTCAAAAGCCTGTGTACCTGAAGTGTGAATTCCATGTTGCTCTAGGAACATTATCAAGTGTTATAACTCCTTTTACAGTTTCTTGAAGACCAACCCACATCTCATTAAAATTCACCCTCCTTGGCCTCAAAGACATTGTACAACTGTAGAAACAATTTTGCACATACACCTATGCAAGGAAATTTCAGAATTACATTAATGCAATACAAATCATACTAAAGTACAACTAGGGACTACCCAAAATGCAAAAAAAGAAATGTCCAATTGTGTTTAGAAACTTCTAAAATTCATTTGTCACTTTTCATCTATAAATAGAAGGAAGTTAACCTTGCAGATCAAAAATGAGAAGTGCAATTCATGGAAAGAAAAACACTGGCAAGTCCAATACTGCATGGAGGACACCTTGTAACCGTATACTTGGCTGATATTTTGGATATATTTTAAATTTAATTCACAGTCGACCTCTTACTGTCCATCGCAATCACAGAATCTAAACCAGTCTAATATTTTCGCAATCACAAAATACAGACCACACAGACTCATAAGTTGAAACGCAAATACCTTTAAAATACACAAATTAAAATGAACACATGCAGTCTGGAAGTAATGGCGATCCTCAGATACTCAAGAGAGTTTAAAGACAAATGTAACCTCTTCGACAGCACGCATAATATTTCAAGTGCACACACCTGGATCACGTATTTCTTATACTGCCATTATATCGTTCGCATCCGTTCGTATATCTTCGCTTGTGCTCGGTATTGCGAAAATGTTATGTCCAATTTACCGCTATCTGCAGACGGAATCTACACATAAAAGCAAGATTCTAATGGTTTGTGAATGGCTGACGTAAATAGTCGGTGTGTAATGAATTAAGGAGGTTTGTTACTAAAAGATGAATGAAAGGTGCAGGGATAGTGAAAGTCCGAACGAAAAAACAGTTCTTTTACTTGAGCCGTTTTACGGAGGTTCACATAAACAGCTTATGGACACTTTAATCCATGGTAATATTCAGCGAATACTGACAACCATGAAGACGGAGTACAGTAGTTTATATACGTTACGTAGATGTATCTCTGGGCACAACCAAAGGATGTTATAATAAAAACACAGAAACCTATTTCACATGTATATGTACATAAGGTGTAATAATTTTTTAAGACAAGTACAGACGAATTTTACTTCATATATATAGATATGCATAAAGCTTACAAATTTGCATTAAATGTAAAGTCATCTAGAGAGATGGAGTGAGTTACGAGGTTCAGAGCCCTGTATTATGATTTAAACTTCAACTGTAGGCTGAAGATAATCGAATAACGTGATACGAAAATAGTGTACCCCTCCATGTTTAGTGAGGTTAGCATTTGGCATATGGCCATATTTACTTATTGTGTTTAAATTGTGTACATCTGCATTTATTTGAAAACTCTCCAAGTTTTTCACCATAAATAATAGTAAGCAGAATATGCATTCGCTTGTAAAGAGTATATTAAATTTCCAAAGTAATTTCCAACAAGAGGGACTGCTTTCAACACCTACCTTAAGTCAAAGTCACATTGCAACTGACGGTGGCACCTACCTTAAAATTTTCTTTTGGATGTTAAATACTTTATTACTTATTACTTATTAAGTACAGGTGGACCTATTCTAAACATATCACTGTCCATATTGTTGCAGGCTTTGCCTAGCACCGGCTGTTTACTCAACCGCTGCTAAGCAACGAATGGTTTCTAGCTTGCGATTGGCTAGCACACAGTCCACTGTGTAGACCTTACATAGCAATGACTGTTTACTCGCCGTTGCTGAAAAAGCTATAACATAACTGTATTCTGTGTTGTCAGTGCAGAAGCTGCATAACAGGAATATTTGTCAGTGACCAGAGCAATGTGGAGGCAGGGTTGAATACCTCCACTGTAATCCTGCGAGTCGTAGGAGGCGACGAAAATGGAAGTCTCAAATCTGAGACAGGAAAATATGGTCTCAAGTCCCAAGGGACTTAGACCCAAGAAAGACTGCACTGGCAAGGGCCAGCAGCATATACGAAAGACAGACTTGTCCTCTCGTCAGAGAGGGCGCCCCACAGAAGCAAAACCATAATTATCAAACTGTAATAATTAATATCTGGTCATGAGCCCCAGATGGGGCTCGACACCAAGACTCACTGACTGACTGACTGACTGACTGACTGACCGTCAGTTGCAATGTGACTTTGACTTTGACTCGTCGTTGCTAAGCAATGGTACCTGAGCTGTCACTGTAACGTTTGCTTGAATGTGGGCAGTTCCCTTACCTCCATTCCCTCATATCTTCAGGTGTGGTGCTTAAGGAAACACAGTGACAACTTTACCTTACCTTTTAGATGTGAACATATGGCCATAAGGGCCATTGTCAGCATATAGCAAAAAGGCAGATTTGCCATGTTGGTATTTCAGTGTTTATACTGCAAGAAGGGTTGTTATTGGCACTGAAGTTTAAACATTCACTGTCTTCCCTGATTCTGCCATATGCTTTTGGCCATTATGTCAGACAGTTTTGCTGCCAGTGTTCAGAAATGGCAAAAATTACTCTGACTGTGCTTATTGCCAAATTATATACCAAATAACCATCCTGAATGAGGCTTTTTGTGGTTTTCCTCATTCTCTCGAGACAAATGTTGGCAGACCTGACCACTTCCTCCCAGATCCTTTCCAATTTGTTATTTGCTAATTATTGTACCATTCAACAATATACAATCTGAACTACTGATAGCATTAAGTATAAAATACATAAACACATAACTATATATAAAATTTACAGTTGGACAAATGATTGCAGTCTGTCATTTCATAGTATGTAATATACGTGTAAGTTCAACATAGTAGGTGTGCATCAGAAGGAATTCCGTGTACTCTTAGTAATTAAACATTTAATTGTCTTAAGCCTGTTACTTCTTTTGTTAAAATTCCAGAACCCATTCTTACAGAATAAGCTTCACATCTGACAATCCTTATGAGAAAAATTCAGTTTGTAAAATTTTAAAATTGGCTGACTTGTTACATGCTCATCTTCCATATTATCACCAGCTTGCAGATTGCCACAGTATTTTGAATAGGTGAAATAACTTCTCTCAGCCATTGAATGTTCACTGGATAGATGTTAGGCAAGATGAAGTACACACAGCTGAGGCATTGGTACCTTAGCCAAGTTCTTTGCAGGTTAAGATTGCTACTGCAAACTTGCAAAGCTATAAAAATTCTGGTAGCCTCATTCCAAGTAGGAGGCAGAAAATCACATTTTGAGGTCCACAAACTTATTAATTCCATTTGGAATAAGGGATAATTGTCATGGCAATGGAAAAACTGCTTATAAAATGGGCAATAAAAGTAGCAAGTAATTATCAAGAAATAGCCTTCTGTCATGGTTAACTTCCTGCATAGACAAAATTGTTGAGCATCATAACTGTGGATTTCAACCAGTGGTGTATGTTAAATTGGTGGGCCCTGGTGGAAGGGAAGTACTAGGCCCTTATAATCCACAGTAAAGTAAGAAGCTAATTTTATAGTATAAATCCACTGTTTTAAATTCCAGTGATCTTAATGCAACTGCTATGATAACTGTAGGTCATACCCATGCAATAAATAACACATGTCCATGATTTAAGTGGATTAAATCTCAACGTTAGTATATTTGATAATTCCATATGAAATCACTATACAAAGCATGATAATATGACCCTGTATATGTGTTACTTGCCTGAGATATACAGAATCACAAATTCAATTAGACACAACTACCCTTTACAGTATAAGTTCGTAGTTAAGTAGAGGCAGCTCACTTCCTAAGACCCACTGATAGTCAGTGACCCACACTTTGAAAAACAGTGATATAGATTATAATTTTGACTTTTATAGAGAGATATCTTGTAACTCTTCCATGCAGTTCATAGGATCTGTGGTATCAATTTTGTCATTCTGAAAAATTCCACATCAGAAAAATAATTCAGACCAAAAATTGGTGCTTTAGACATAAGTTATTAGTTCACTGTTTGCATTTTCAGAGATTAAATATTGGACATATAAGATGTTCAGATTTTGACTGTAAGGAGGTTAATATTAGGTACAGGTGGAATTTTTCTGTTTCAATACAGTGAAAACCTTTTACTGTCAAATCCAAGGACTTTTGAGCCACTGTAAACAATTTTCTTCTGGTAGTACAAGTATGCAGTGATCCATCACACTGATGCCGTTTCTTTTCATAAAACACGAAGATAAACAAATTACAGTCTCTTATTACGGGTATGAAAATAACAAGAGCTAAAGCTAAACTTTTTATTTTACCTTAAGTTTATTCTAATTTAAAAAGTATCCTCCTCCTTTCTTGTCACATTCCTGTATATCACTTTTCTTTCTAGGAAGAAAATTCACAGTCTTCCATGAGGGCCATGAAATAGACAAAGATGCACCTATATACAAACCAGCCATATCAAATTGTTAACTTCTGAAACCTGAAAAATAGCTCTTTTTATTTTTCAGGTTTAAATGATGGAAGGAAAATTAACTCAACATTCCTAATATCCTTGCCAGCAAAGAAATGGCACTGGAGGGCACGAACTAGTGCATTGTACATATCACAAATAATACCAAAGAAACATAATTTCAAGTGAGTTTTCAAAAATATATTTAAATTTATCATTCTCCATATGTTCTCTTCCTTTTTATCTTTTTTATTTTTTTCTTTGTGCAGGGTTTTGTTTGCCAGCTGTGTACTAAATCTTGCAGAGCTGGTTGCATTACGTTCAGATCTGTCCCATATTAGAAAGGTTGTCTATTTTCATGAAAATCAACTGATATATCCTGTCAGAAAAGAGAAGGATCGGGACTTTCAGTATGGATACAATCAAATCTTGACATGGTAAGGACAAAGGAGTTTTTCCGTGTATTCATATACAGTCTTTTGATCTTCCTGCTGTGTGTCCACTGTCAAGAGGGAAGAAATCCACTTCCAGGGAAGCACCCATGGAATGAGACTCTTGTTTACTCTCGGACTGTAACTCATGGAAGGGGTAGGGTAGGTTGTGGTCTTACCCACATTCATAAAGATAAAACACATCATTACCCAAAGTTTATAATCTTACTTTCAGTATATCACAATGAACTGTATTATTGGGCATGTTTTATCACCACATGTGTGCTGAAAGTGCTGACACCTTGATAAAACAGATGCTTCACTTTCAGGACATTTAACACAAAAACTGTTTTTGGAGTGTCATATGTCAGTGCACCCCAAATGGCCACAGTTGTCCAGATTTGTACATCTTCTAGAATTCTTTCCATTTTATAAGTATTGATGGTGATTTGTATGCTACTCGTAACTGTTCACATTTTACACACGCCTTATGTACATAACCATTACTTAAAAATTTCGTTATATGACTCAAAAATAAATATTGGCAATTTCCAGGAAAGAAATTAATTTACAATATTGTATTTTGCATTGTTAAATTTCTTTAGTGTGTTAACACGCAACATGTTACACAATTTATTATTTGGCCTTGTTTCCACTGAGGGACTTAACAGCTGAAAAGTTACATATCTTTTGAGATTATTACTAGTATAATTTTCAGTCATATTAAACAGTGCCAATGTGGCTCCCCCCTTAGAGATTTGTGTGGAGCCCATATTGATATTACTAATGACACAGAATGAAAACGTTTTAAGAGGTCAGCAAAATACATACAAGTATATAAACACATTTATTTGCAAATAAAGAAGGCAGGATAACATTTCTGGTAGAAAAGAGAAATGAGATATTAAATGTCAATTACTTTGTTTACATGAAAATGATAGGTTTATTATTATTATTGCTCAACACTCGAGCTGTACGGACGTGTTATGCTTGTGCTCCCACCCACTTGAGTGCCTAGTGTCTCCATGTGCCACTGGTTAGGTGTGGCCAGTAAGGACCACTGTCAGCTCTGTGAAAAGCTGTTTTACGGAAAACAAAAATCTATTCGTTGTGGCGAGTACGATTCACACTTTCATTGTAATTGTGTGCCGGAGACCAGTGTGAGTGCAACCACCAGTAAGTCTGCTTACAAGTGTGACAGTTGTATGAAACTCACGGGGGATGCTGCAAACGAGCATTCCTTCTCCAAGAGTAACCAGAAGGAAGCAATTTCTGCAGTGCTACAGTGTACTGCTTTGTGTATAGGGGATAATGATTCTCTGAGCGTGCAGCTGGAAACCGTTCACACTAATGGCATCCGTACCATGGAGATAATACAGCCTGTAGTCTTGATGGTGTCAAAACTCAGCAGTGAAGTTCAGCAACTTAGAATCGACAACGCAACCATTTGAACTACAACAGGTGCTCTCACATGTGCAATCAACACGCCATGAGGCTGCTACATCTGCCATATCTATGACTAAATCATACAGGAATGCTGTGTGTGTGCAATGGATGGTAAACCTAGTGTCGCCAAGGTCACAGCTCCTGCTATGAATTCACTGCCTGAGCTGTCCATTGTGACGGGTGAAAACCCTTCCGGTGGTGATTCTGTAACAGTAGTTAAGAAGAAGCAGTTAACCCTGTCTCCTGTATACACTGCTGGAACACATCCTGGAAATTGTTTTGATATATATATTACCAAAATGTCAGAGGTCTTAGGACTAAACAACTCGAACTTTATGAAAATATCTGCTCCACAGACTATAATATTATTTGTTTAACTGATACATGGCTAAACGATCTGTATTATGACCATAATTTATTTCCTGACTGCTATACAGTTTTCCATTCTGACAGGGCGTCTGTAAATAAGACACGTGGTGGTGGTGGTGGTGGAGTACTCATTGCCCTATCCTCCAAAGTTCACTCCTGTAAATGCAGATACAATTTAAAATCCTGTGATGAATGTGTATGGGTTGAAATCCCCACTTCTGACAGTCTTAACTTACTCATTGGAAATCATTACTTTCCCCCTGATGCCTAACCTGAAAACATTGCTAACTATTTTCAATTTTTAGAAAACAATTTGGATACCCATAAATTTCGAGTAATTATGGTTGGGGATTTTAATACTCCTGGCTTCAACTGGAAACATGGTCTATCTCTGCCCAATTCCCTTTATTACTGTAAACTTAAGGGAGATGCGATCTGCACCTCCATGTGTCTTCTTAATCTTAACCAGTGCATTGACACTATTGGTAGCAGCAGTCTACTTGATTTAATTTTTTCTAACTTAACAGACATAAGTATTACTCCTGTTGACCCTGAACTTATAAAGCCTGACAATTCTCACCCCTTGCCACTTGTATTCAGAGTCATATATATTCGTAGTACGCGGGTTCAAATACCCGGCGGAGGTCATCGAATTTTTAAGAGCGGAAAAATTCAGGGAACAAGTCCTCCGGGAGGGACTTTAAGCCATGGGTCCCGTGTCGTAGCTTTACGGCACGTAAAAGAACCTCATATCTCCAAAGGAGGTCACTGAGCCAAATTAACGGACGTTTCCCGCCCAACAGCAGTCTCTAATACCTCTGGTAGATGGGGGGCAGCATTATAGATACCTCTCAGCTAGTAGAGCCGGTCTCGCTGGCTGGGCGGGACTGATGGTAAGCACCAGTACCGGCAGGATATAGAGAAATCATAGAGGGAAGCACAATGGACCAATACAGGTCTCAGTGCATGGGGAAACCCACCCTCTCCAATAACTAACTATATATATTCGTACCATAAATTTTCGTCTGGGGATTATACATTGATTTATAATAATCTTTCAACTTACAACTGGTCTTGTGTGTATGGTACCACGTCTGTGGATTCTGCTGTTGCCAGCCTCAATGCAGCTCTTCAGGATGCCATGGAACATGCAATTCCCAGTGGCATCATAAACACTCATACGAAATTTCCACACCAGTATTCTAGTTCCTTATGGTATTATAAAAGTAAAAAGAATTATTTTTACAGACATTTTAAAAATAAGAAATCCGACTGCTTTTACCAAAAATTTGGGACATGCAGTAGCGTAGTTGCTTGAGGCACTATGCTACAAGCTGGAAGGTCGTGGGTTCAAGTCCCAATGAGGTTATTGAATTTTTTTCAATTGACGTAATCCTTCCAGCTGCACTATGGCCCTGGGGTCAACTCAGCCTCTAACATAAATAAGTACCAGAAATATTCTTGGGGTTAAAGGGCAGCCGGCACGTAGGGCTGACAACCTTGCCGTCATCTGTGAGCTGATTGTCTAGAAAATGTGGGAACCTTAACATCTCACAAACCTATGGGCCTCCACAGCCTGTTACAGGGATACCTTTACTTTAAAAGAAGAAAATCTATCATAAGGTAGTTAAGGCTACCATTAAGTCTGACAGACTTAGATGGTTGACATCAGTGAATGAAAATTTAAAGTCACCACCCAAGCAATTCTGGAAATATGTGGCCTCCTTTAGGAAAAGAAATTCTACTTCATCCAGCTTGAGGTTGATGGTAAGCAATTAATCAAACCTAATGATATTGCTGAGGAATTTTCAATCATTATACCACAATCCTTGTCCTGCTGTCTTCCCCAACCTTTTGTCATCTTTTGAATTCTTACCTTTAGTGTCTGTTTCTGATTCAGATGTTATCAAAGCCATTAAGTGCCTGAGACCATCTAAATCTGTTGGAGTCAACGATATCCCCGGATTCATTATTAAGGGTTGTACCAATATATTTGTACCTATTCTTAATGCTTTTCTCAGCATTATTTTCCCATCCTATGGAAGCAAGCAGCAATTGTTCCTGTTCTCAAAAGAGGCAAATGTATCTCTGTTAGCAACAATAGGCCTATATCCCTAGTGAGTAATTTTTCTAAAATATTTTAATTTATTGTTCATGACCATGTTTCCCATTATCTAGAATCTAAAATTATCCCTTATCAAGCATGGCTTTTCTAAAACTAAATCCACAAGCACCAACTTGGTAACTTATGTTGATTTTATTTACCCTATAGTAGGCTCTCAGAGACAAGCTGATGCTATTTATTTTGATCTGAGCAATGCATTCAACCGCATCCCACATTCCCTTCTGATTCATAAGCTTAGTGTTATTGGCCTTTCTGGTGGCTATGTAAACTGGTTTCGCAATTACCTATCCAACCGGAAATCTCACATCCGTGTTTCTGGTGTTCTTTCCTTGCCTTTTGAAGTTCTCTCCAGTGTTTCCCATGAATCGGTCTTGGGAACCCTTCTCTTCAGTGTGCTTATTAATGAGATATGCGATACAGTTGCCCACTCTGAGTGTCTGCTTCTTGCTGATGACATCAAAATTTACTGAGCCGTTAGTTCTCCTCAGGACTGCTATCTAATTCAGTCTGACATTAACTCTATACAAGGTTGGTCCATTGCTAACTGTATGAAACTCAACATTAGTAAAACTAAAGTTATATCCTTCTCCAGAAAAACCAACATACTGATCTACGATTATAAACTCTGTCAAGTGTCTATAGCCCGGACGGATTCTATAAAAGACCTGGGAGTGTTTATTGATGCTGAACTTTATTTCCATGACCATGTCAATTATACTTTCTCTCTGTGTTCAACTGCTGGGTCCAGTTTGTAGCATTACTTTCAATTTCTCATCTCTAGACTGTATGCTCAGGTTGTACACTGTATGAGTTAGATCCAAACTTGAATATGCATCCCTAGTCTGGAATTCGATTATGTCAACTGATGCTAACAAGCTGGAATGCATTCAGCAGAGGTTTGCGTCCCTTTGTTTTAATCGTTTCTATCCTCAAGTCCATTATTATTATTCTCTTGCTCTGGAGGAGTTAAAATTTCATACTTTACATACTAGGAGACATCGCTTCAATGCTCTTTTTCTTACTCAAGCTTACTTTGTTTCGAAATTTGCCCTTCTCTTCTGGAATTTGTTGGTCTCCAAGTTCCTGCTCAGTATATCAGAGACTTTGCATTGTTCAGTGTTTGCTCCTCATGTAAAAAGTGTCCCACTGTTAGATGTGCAGCAGCTACTTATGTTGTTTGAAGGGATGTTGACATATCTGGAGCCAGGAAAGTTCTCCCCAAACGATTTTTAAATACGGTGTAATTGTTACTATTATTATTTGCATGTACAATAAACAACAATTAAACTGAATTATTATTATTATTATTATTATTGTTGTCCTCTCTGAATATCTATACTTTTCATTTCTCAATTAAATATTTATATGTTTCATTTCTCAGAACTCAATAACAACTTAGTCCCCCCCCCTGCATTAATGTTTTTTCCTCCAGTGCTTGACTGTAATTTGTCATTGACTTTATGTTGTGATTGTCCATAGTGTAATTACTTGTATCTACACTGTGCTCTGTCTGTCATTGACCTTGCAGCTATTGACTGGGTACATAAATAATAAAGAATTCAACTGAATTATCATTATATTATTGTTGTTGTTGTTGTTGTGGGTAAGGACTGAAGTTATGAAGGCCCCTGATGATAATATAAGACAGGTATATCTCCTATAGAGGGCTTATTTAAATTAAAATTGTACTCAGTTGTTTGTAATTTTAATTTTCAGTCTTGTGGCTGATATTATATTGTTCAATTCTAAGTACAATCAAGATTCATTCTTGGACTCCATAAGCAAGTTCCTCAAGTTACAACCAGATTTTCGTCCCAAGGACCTGAAACAGCAGATCGCTCCAAAATGTAGAGTCCTCTACTTTCCATTGAAGTTCCCTTCACTGGGACCTTTGAGAGATTCAGACAACACAGTTCTCCATTTAGTTTGGCCACACAGGTGGTAAGTGGTAATGTAGCTCTGAAATAAGATTTGGTAGGATATGTTTTTGTAAAAGAAAGCAGAAGACAACTCTCATTATTTTTAAATAATTAGGAAGGCCAATGTCCAGTAAATCATACCGTTCAATCAGTTAACATATTTAGTAACCATAACTATATACATCAATATTATACAATATTGTGATGAGCTATCTTACGTCCATCGCATGGCACATCATGGATGTTAAATCAAGGACCACTGATGTGGTAAAAAAGCTGAGCTCTCACTTTATAAACATGAAGCAAAGAGCTGGACAGAAAAAATATAGCTTTACATCACTATTATCTAACAAATTACCGTATTTATGCATGTATAGGCCGCACATTTTTTGCCAAAAATTCAAGAGGAAAACTGGGGTGTGGCTTATATTCGAAATCACACTTCATTTAAAAAAATTATATTCATAATTAGTAATACAGGGTGTAATACTCCTGAAATAATATTCCAAGAAAATTATTTTTTCTATAATTTCTGTCTGAAAATTGTGCTGCGGCCTATACATGCGTAAATACGGTATAAAATATTTCAATAAACTGAATCAGATAATATTTCTTCATACTGCAGGGAGCATGATAAAGATCCTGCAACATTCTTCCATATGTTGTTGATGCTGGTGGATGCTGGGCTTAACTTCCATGTGTCAGTGCTTGGTGAATCATTTTCTGAAGTTCCTCCAGTGTTTGCTGAGGCTCGGACTCGTCTGGGCAATCGGGTTGTCAACTGGGGTCACCAGAAAACAAAACATGAATATTATGAAATACTAAGACATGCTCATATTGCTATATCCACAGCTAAGCATGAATTCTACGGGGTGGCAATGTGAGTCATCTTAAGTATATCATATACGATGTACGATGGACTGGGATTTTTCCCTTGCATGTCATTTCACATACATTCTGAGAGTGCCTTCCTGCCTCTCCATATCATATACAATATGTTGCACATTTGTTTTCCATTTACACTACTACTAGTGCCGCATTTCATCTAAATTGTGGGACTGCTAGAGGGCTGACTAAGATGGGGGACACACTAAAGATCTAATGGCAGTTACAGTGTAAGGGCCAGTATGGCCCACCCCTTCATCAGTAAATCAATCAATCATTCAATCAATACATGCTATTATGCTGTTATTTTAGTTCCTGTGAGTGATATTAGATGGCTGAACTGGCTCTTTTACTGTTTTGGACTGATGGTTGAAAAAATACAACAAAATTTGAAATACCAGCTGAAAAAAAGTGAAGAGAACTTAAGAATTTCAGTAAATTATTGTGACACATCATCATCAGTAATCTGTCAAGACGACAGGTCCATAGTCTCTTCCAAAACAATTCCTCCACTTAATGCGATCTAGAGCTTTCTCCTTTAAATGACAGTATCCTCTTCTCTCCTCAAGGTCATCCAGCATCTTCTTACGTCTTCTTCCTCGTCTTCTTGTCACTTCTATCCGCCCATCTATCTTTCCTTCGATAACTTCTTTCAGAAGGCAGTTTCTGCGTAAACATGAACATTAGCCTTCCATTTTCTTATTTTGTGTAGGATATTCCTCTGCTCACTGACTCTAATTAACACTTCTTCATTTCTCACATAATCGGTCCAACTGATCTTCTCCATCCTTCTCCAGCACCACATTTTCAAACTTTCCAGATGTTTCTGATCTACTGCCCTAAGTGTCCATGTTTCAGCCCCATACAGAGCTATGCTCCAAATGTAGCATTTCACTAGTTTCTTCCTCAAATTTAAGTCCAATTTGCTGGTAAAAAGATTCTTCTTCTTGCTAAATGCAGCTTTTGCCATGGCAATCCTGGATTTAATTTCACTAGTACACCTTCCATCATCTGTTAACAAGCTACCCAAATATTTAAAACATTTCACATTCTCCAGTTGTTTTTGGTCTATCTTTATTGTGATTGGGGTTGGTTGTCTCGAAATTTTCATTACTTTTGTTTTTTCCACATTCATTTCCATGCCATAGAACCTTCCAATTTCAATTAGTCTATCAATCATGCCCTGTAGCACAGTTTCTTCATTAGCCAGGAAAGGCTAAGGAAAGGTTGAAATTATAGTCTCTCCACTGTAAGTTTAATCCTGACATAAACAAATGCACATCCTTGATGAACACGTATAAGTTAGTTACTGAACACTACAGGTTGACTATATTTGGAGTAATTTTCATTTCGTGCATGCTGTTGTGTTATAATATATGACTTCTTTATTAAAACTGTAACAACACAAATACATGGCATATATTCGCCATGTATATGCCTGATGATGGCTTTTAATAGCCGAAACATGTAGCAGAGCCAAACTAGGCACTGGCCTTAATATAGTTGTGTTGTGATGGCTTTAATAAAGAAGTTGTATATATGGAGTATTTGTACATTCTGCAAGAAACACAATTCTGATCCCAGACATTCATTTATTACTACAATATATGATGAACAGGATAATAATTATATATAATTCTCACACCAGTGACCAAAAAATACTGTCTTCTGTGATATGACACCATGTAGTCTGGTAGACGATTCCTGATGTTTCAATGGAATGAAATACTGCTATTTCAAGACTAAAGAGGAAACCAAGAAACAAATGCCTGATTTTGGCCCTGAAGGTGGAAGCAGTACATTTATCTGAAATGTTGGTGAACTTCTACCAGACAACATAACATCATGTCCCAGAAGCTGTCTTAATAATTATATACATTAATTTAGTGAAACAATGCACATGCATTATTGAGAGTCTAATCCATGAACAAGCAGTCACTCATTCATTTCAGAGAAGGAAGTTACATGGCTAGATACAAGATCTTAAAAGCATAACATGCCCACAAGTGCTTTCAGGTTTGGGGTAATTACAGATGGGAGTTTCATTAAAAAAAAATGGGGAATAATGAAAGATTGTGGCAACAATGTAAATGGGAACAGGCTTCTGCATACATGCAGACACAAGGAGAACAGTCACTTTAAGGACATCTGATACATGCTGCTGAAGAGCAGGAGGTGAAATACTTGATTTTATGGAAGACACTGGCTTCTGCAGAAACTACATTGTAACTCAGACTTGAAAGGATTCTGACGATGGTGTATACTGTACTTCTTTTGGCTTATTTTGGACTTATTTTGGTTTTTTGTCTTTTTGTCTTTTACATACCAGACAATGTGTGAAGTCCAAAATACTCAAAAAGAAGTACATTGTAACTGTACGTCACCTAGTAAGTAAGTAAGTAAAGCTATCCCTTTACCAGGCCATGAAGGCCCATAGGGTTGTGAGACGTTGTGGATCCCACATTATCTAGACAATCGGCTCAAATATGGCGGTAAGGTCGTCAGCCTTACGCGCCGGCCACGCTTTACTCCCCAGGAAAATTATTTAATTAATTCCTGGTACTCATTTCTGTTAGAGGCTGAGTAAACCCCAGGGCCTAGTGCGGCTGGAAGGATTAGGTCAACTGAAAAAAATCCAATGACCTCATCGGGACATGAACCCGCGACCTTCTGGCTTGTATCATAGCCCCTCAACCACTACGCTACCACCCCAGAAGCTTCTTAATAATTATATACATTAATTTAGAGAAACAATACACATGCATTATTGAGAGTCTAATCCATGAACAAGCAGTTACTCATTCATTTCAGAGAAGGAAGTTACATGGCTAGATACAAGATCTTAAAAGCATGACATGCCCATAAGTACTTTCAGGTTTTGACATTTTTTGACTTGTTCCTTCCAGGAACACATGATTATATAGTTTGTTGTTTCCCAGAAGTCTGTTGTACTGATATTTCACTGTCTTTACCATGCTTGTTCAATTAATGCTGGGATTAGAATAGTAGTAATTCACAAACATTCTTTACTGTGACTATTGAGTAATGACATAAGGGGGACAACTTATATTTGCCCTTGAGTACTCAGACCTCTACTAGGTCCACTGTGCACCCCCAATATTGCTGGGGATGGTAAATGGCTGGGCATAAAGCTGACCACTCACCTTCAGCAAGTGCTGAGGTCAACAAACTGTGGATCTATACATCCACTCCCTCACATGCCTTCATGGCACAATGCTTAATTAGTTAAGCACAGGGACAACTTTACCATTTTATTTGCATAAACTGTACAAATATGAATCAGGAAGATGTGTAATAATAATTATTGGTGTAAGTTACACTGACCTCTCTATACAGACAATGGCTTTCAAGTGAAAATGTATATTCATCCAAAAATATTTTAATTTACCTATCACTGAATAATAATTAATTCTTTTTCCAGGTTGGAAGCAACATATTATGGATGCTTTCCTCTGTGTCCAAACGCCTTAGTTTATCCAGAGCTATACCCAAATGAATGCCTTTACAATAGTGAACAAGAACTCTTTAAAATTCTTGAGAACTTTTGTCAAAATCCAAATTTGGCAAGACATATGAGACATAGTCTTAAAATGGATTTCAAACGTTTCAGTGTTGAATATCTACTCAATGAATATAAGCATGTTCTGTTGCTAGACTGATAAGGCAAATACACAAAATACAACACCAGTATTTTCCTATTTCTATCACAGCATATGCCAACACAGTATGGAGACTAAAAACATACCTCATAACAAGTACTGGTCATGTTGCCCTGCCCTCTATCATCAATGACTATCCATGAACTGAATGTCCGACAGAATAAGAAGAGTTTTTGGAAGCGGACGTGGCTGAGGTGAAAGTACAGTCATGCTTTGCCTTTCCATATCCACATTTGTCCTATAAAAATTATGAGAAATGTCCATAATTATCCAGAAACACGTTGTATGTGGATGCACTGAAATTAAGAAAAAAGAAAGGAGGGAAGGAAAAGGAAACAGAAAAATGTAAGGTAAAGACACTGGAAGCATGTGGAACCATGAAATTGTTGTTTTAGGTCCATACAAATTTCTTCTTTTATCGAAAAGTATTTAAACACATGGCAGATATAATATAGAGCATGTCTGCCACCATTTGTTCTGTATCATCAGTTCTTAAATGAAGGTACATACTAAAATGATGGGGATACTAGCAATGGAGCTAGATAACCAAGGTGCGATGAGTAGAAGTTGACATGGGTGATGTGAAGATGTGTTATGCACCAATGATTTTATGTTGCCTCGAATTCATGATAGTATATTTTACTAGCCCAAATGTACAAATGAATTCATAATAATCTTCAATTCAATTCAATTCAATTCAATTCTTTATTATTAATGTGCCNTACCTGAAACTACATTTTGACAAAATATCAGTCTGCAAATCATTTGCAGGAACCTACTCAGCATCATAGTTTGCATGCGGACTAAAATCATGGAGTTTGTCTTGTCTTTGTTTTTTTTTTTTACTCAGCATCATTTAGGTTACAACAGTACCTGAAATGTAAAATATAAAATCCCTTGCCAACAGACAGGGCTATGTTTAAAGCCACAGCCAGCATAACCAGATACAATTTGGAAACTGCTGACATCTGAAATTTAAGGTTTGTAGAACTGAAATTAATGGTGGATTGTAATTTAGAAAAAAAGAAAAAAGAAACTTGATTCTGAACAGTATGTTAATACAGGAAGTATAATGGTATATGATATTTTGGTTTCTGATACTAGTGTCAACAAAGATTATTCCTATCTCAGATGTGATGTCATGTTCACTTGATAGGTATCCATGCTTCAGAAGAATCTGCTGGCTGCCTCTATCTTCACAGTAGAAAAATACTCTACCCTGGAAATGGAGGCAAAAGGTTCCTCTGAAACACTGGTATCTACCAAACATAGCATCACATCCCAGAAGACAGCAACCTTCAGTTTATTAAGTTTCATAACCAAGTTTTGGGGACAGAATTGAAGAAAAGGGAAAACAAGAAGATTAATGGGTATGGTTATATATGTAATTCTACTTACACACAAACAAAGCCTGCAATATTACTTTGAATAACGTCTTCTTCTACTGAGGCAGCAAAACTTACAGCTAATATATGGTGCAGCAGATTTGGTCCTAGAAATCAGTAAGAAATCTCACGTTAAAGATCTTATCTTTATGCATGTAGTACAATATTTTATAGGCAATTTCTTTCATTTGAATTCCCCGACAGATCCATGGTTACTTGTACATTTAAGAGCTAATTTAATCAAAAGTACACAATTAAATGCAATATATCGTGCATCAGGATCCCA